AGAGGCAGCCTGCAGGCTGCAAAAGGTGTTTCAGGTGTGTGCACCTCCACCCCAAGTAACACCTCCAGCAGCTACCAGCTCTGCTGCAGCAGCAGCAGGTTCGCACAGCCCAGGAATTCCCGTCGCTGCAAAAGGAGGGGGCTTTGAACGGCATAACGCAGAATTTCCACCAAGTGCATGCATTAATTATAACATGAGTGCATGTTTTACATTCTGAACATCAGGTGTTTGCCAAAGGAAGAAGGCAGGAAAACACCTCAGTAGCGTGTTCTGTAGCAGCTAATAGACACTACAGAAAACATTTATACTAAAATAAAACTCTACCAAAATAAAACTCTACAAAGGTTGGGGGAAACAAGCAGTTATGCCAACTACTGAACACAGCAAAAATAAAAACATTTTTGAGGAGCTGTTCCTAACAGAAGCCGAGAGACTAGACACTATCGTAGAAATGTGCAATGCAAAAGAGACTTCAACAAGTGGTAACAGACTTTTCTTTCTCAGTAACCCCAAATCTCCCATTCTGTGGATCTCAACTTGAGAAAATGAAAGTACCATACAAACTTTTCTTCCCCTCAGGGCCCCGTTAGACAAACTCCTTCCAGTCTGCCTTTTCTCCTTACTTCCTTTCCAAACATAATGAGTCTCTAAATACCTTAATTTTCTTCTCAGTGTTGATCATTGTCCATGGGAAAACTGTCCAAAGTACCATTTTTTTCCTCAAAATTTTACAAAAGATTAAAAGCAGTTAATCGACTATTGCTTAAAATGAGGAAAATACAAATTAATCTAAAAATGAGTAGATTGAAGCATTTCCCACTGAAGTGCTGTTTCTTTACAAGTAACATTTACTTTGCCTCTCCTCTCCTCTCCTCTCCTCTCCTCTCCTCTCCTCTCCTCTCCTCTCCTCTCCTCTCCTCTCCTCTCCTCTCCTCTCCTCTCCAAGTCTACATGACTCTTGGGTGTAACTTCTTACAAATTATAAAAGATTCTCAAGAATGACAAAAAGATTCTCAAGATGAGAATCTTGATGCTGTACCAGTGCTGCTCAGCAGTAGACAAAGCATTGGTGTGATCTCAGTGCTATTCTAGCTACAAGTGCAGAGCACAGTACTCTATGGGCCACCGCAGGGAAAGTTAATTCCATCCCAGCCAGATCTAGTACACTTAACTATCATTGTTAACAGCTAAAATGTGTATATAAAGACAGTTATGGTGTTTGCACAAAGCTTATGAAATTACTACAATATTAAATGATAAAAGATGACTGCATCATATTACTCACATTGCTAAGTAAATCAGAGCCAAGGAGAGAGATAAAGTCTAGCATGTTTCCTGGTACCATTTTCACCTGTACCAACCTGCACTCTCCTACATAATGCCAGAATACAGTTCAAGAGATAGCATGTACCAACAACCACCCCAGATAAAACTCCATTATGTTTGTTCCCCTTCTCCACTACATAGCCATCAACAGGCCTTCGTGACACCATACAGTCATAAAACACATACCTAATTTTTGTTCTAATTTTTGTTCTATTTTATGAAATCCCCATTCTAATATAGTCTGAGAGATGTATTGCAGTCAGTATAGATTTAGGAAAAAAAAAAGTTAAAGAAAATTGAAGTTTTGTCTCAGAGCTGCCAGGGCATCATATGGTTCTTGGATATGAACAGCTTGCCACTAGAAGCAGAAAGCAACCTCTGGCCCTAAATCATTTGGCAATACAAACACAACCAAAGAAAATTAGCAGGTGTCCACAGTTATAAGCATCCATGAAAACAATGCCCTGTTCAGAAAAGTTCACAGAAAATCTACTCCATATACAACAAAACACAGAAAACTACCCAATACCTTATAACAAATGTAAGATAAATACAAAAATAAATTGTAATTGAATTCACAGATAAATATAAAAGTGAGAATTACAATATTCCACAGGACAGGGTTGGCAAGTTTGAGACAATGTACTTCCCCTTTACTTATGATTTATATTACATTACGATCCTGGATAATCCTAGTACGTTAGTACATTCCAAGTTCCAGAGAGGCTAAAACAGCTGCTCATCTTGCCAGTATGCCCATTTTATTCATTAGAAGACAGATATACCTATTTTACAGGTAAAAAATGGACCAAGGAGAAATCTGTTTAAATGTTCCAGGCCCTTTTTATCCATTAGTTCTTCTGTCTGGGGATTGTTATTGTCATCTTAGACTCTTCTTGATGCTGTTTAATTTCTTATGCATTGGATGCTAATGACTTCTTTGGACATTAGATTTTTCTAAGGTATAAACATTACCATTACTGTAATAAGTTGAAATTTATTCTATGAGTCATCCTGCTGAAGTCATTTATTCCATAAGCAAAAAGAAATCATTCTGGACCTACTAGCAAAAAGTGTTAGATTGGTAGATTTGTCAGATTGAAACTGAAAGCAACTGAAAGGCACCAGGGGTGATACACTCCAAATAGCAGTGGACTCTCTGCCCTGTCACTGTAAGGTGGAGTGGGAGGGGGAAGGGGTGGCTAAGAGATGGGGAGGAATTAAACAGGTCCCTGCTTAGCATTGCAGGCAAGCTCTCTCTCTCCCTACCTCGCCTTTGCAGGTGCCCTAAAACAATAGGTTTGAGATTCTGGAACTCGAGGGATGGGTAAGTGAGGATGTGATGAAAGGTCCACCCAGAAGGTTGTCTAGGGCAAAGCAGTTGACTCCACATATCAAGACTGCTTCCACTGTTATAAACGATGTCTCAACTCAATCTGAATTTAGTAATATTTATAAAAGACAAGTAAACAGTGCTGGGTGCATGGGGAGTCTATGCTCTACCAACACGCACACATGAACATCGAACCTTCTAAACATACAGTACATTGCTTTTACATACTAAACCCAAGTATGCCTATACATATGTACAATCAGAAAAGGCAACAAACAATCCTTTAAGTCTATTACTACCAATGTCCATGACCAGGGGAGCATAGTTGGCCTGGTTGAAATGCTCCCATATCTTCTATGACTTATAACAGTCTCCATTTTCCATTCCTTTTCTTGATTACAAACACCAGAGAATTCCAGGGCTAGTCGTGGGAACAATATGTCTTGCTTTAGGTTGTTAAGCAACTCAGTCTTCGGGCCTTATGTATCCCGTTCTTCCTGGATCGAAGAAAAGCATATCCATCTCCTTTTCAAGGCCAATGAGGCCTGGGTCAAGAGGCACGTCCAGGTCAGCAGGGGGCGGAACAGCAAAAGCCTTCGATGGCTGTAGTAGCAAAGGAGTCGATGCTGTAGCAGTCGGATCAGTAAAGGAGCCCGCAGCTCCCTCACTATCTGGCAAGCCACACGTTTCTGACTGTGGTCCCACATGGCTCTTTAAGGCCTCAGAGACTGCTCGCCAGGTGCCAAGCAATCCCACTGCAACCTTGTCATTTTTAGTTGCAGAGTCCCACACCTTGACCTCAGTTTGGTCCCATATTTCAGGAATAAGCTGTAAGGCTACCAGGACAGTCTTTGTTTCTAAGGACTTATGATTCCTCATAATGCGCAGCTGCTTACCAGTGAGGAGCAGTTGTGTGCACGGGTCCACTTCTCTCAGCTTGAGCTTCTTTCCAGCTCCGGTGTGCCTATTTCCAGTGACTTTCTGTACAAGCTTCTCTGAGCAGTTTGGTGAGTTTGGCCAAACCTATCTTCACAAGGCAATCAATGTGCCTGTTCCCATCCTGGTCCCTGTTCTGCTAGCCTGTCCCTATTCATTCCTTTTTCCTGCTTCTTTATTGATGACATAACTTCATTACATCGCGTTGCCTTTTTCATCTTGAGGGCAGGCTCCCCTCTTATACCCTTCTCCCCACAGCAGTCCTTTTCAAAAACAACTTCTCATTGTTCAAACGACATCGCCCAGCAACAGCAAACACCCAGAAACTTCCATGTCTTAACGGCTGGAGAACAAGCAACCCTCCAACCCGAGACTGCATGGTGATTCAAAGATCGAAGCCGAAATTCCTTTAAGTGGTATATTCTTTATTGCAGCGCTGGATGCACGGGGGATCTCTCCACCTATCGTGCATACCCAAAGCAAAAAGCAGTCTTGAATTTATACAATCAATCTATCAATATTCTACAAGCGCCTATACATATGCATTACCTATCCCCGCCTTCCCTCGCTTCTCATGCTAATTAGCCTTTTGGCACCTTGCGCCTGCGTAGAGCCTCCCAAGAATTGTGGGCAGGGGTCTTTGGGACGTGGGCAGGGGTCTTTGGGAGGAAGACCCCGAGTCTTCCTCACAGTGTACTTTTCACCTTTGGTCAGGAATCTGCTGAATTGGCACGTTTCTTAATTGCGAGAGCTGGTTGTTGCCAATTCTTCCGTTTGTTGTATCTTTATAATGAATTCCAATGTCCAGTTTTGAGATTTATAGTCCTTACATTTGTTTCTCTGTCCGTCTGCCGCTTCCTTATCATGAGTTTCAGTGTCTTGTTTCGAGATATACAGTCCATGTCTGGGGATTGTCCTTGCCTCCCCAATGCCTCCCCAATGCCTCCTTAATCAATGGAGTCTCCTGAATCACCCTTCGTTGTTCCCTCTATAAACATTTTTACATTCCTGATGGCCTCTTCGTTATAAGTCTGATGTTTTCATCAACCATGGGGCTTGCCGACCCCCATGGCCACACTCCCACATCTCCTCCTTCTTTATTAATATCACCCATTTTCTCGACACTAATTATTATGCCATATATCACATTAGGGACATGGTTTAGTACGTGGCAGCGATGGGAGGGTGATGGTTGGACTAGGCAACCTTGGAGGTCTTTTGCAAGCTTTACGGTTCTGTGGGTCTGTGATTTAAAACTGACACCGGAACAGCAATTCCAGCCGCTACGGACCTTACGGCACCCAACCCACAGGCGGGCTCCGCGCACCCTCCCTGAGCCCCCCGCCCCCCTTGCGGCCGCCAAACCCCCTCAGAGCCCCGGGCCCCTCCCCTCAGCGCCTCGGGGACAGCGGGGCGGGCGGGCTGCGCATGCGCCTCCTCCGGCGGGCCACAACCCGCGTGGAGGCGGTGGGCGGGGCGGGAGAGGGCGGCCTTGCTGAGGGGGCGGGGCTATGAGGAGCCCCCGCCCCGTGCCGGGCCCCGCCCCGTGCCGGGCCCCGCCCCGTCAGTCCGGCGCCGGCCCGCGGCGGGGCCGCAAGTTGCCCGGGACGGCGGCGGGGGCGGCTCCGCGAGGCTCGGTTCGGCCCGGCCCGGCCCGCGGGGAGAGGGGGACGGCCGTTGGCACGGAGCTCCCCCGCGGAGGGGACCGGGGGCTGCCGAGGCTGCCGGGGTCCGAGGGGATGCGAGCTGCGGGCCGGCCCCGCCGCGGCGTGGCGCGGGGGAGGTCGGGCCGGGCCGGGCCCTGCGGCGCTGAGGAGCTGGAGCCCCGTCCCGTCCCGTCCCGTCCCGTCCCGTCCCGTCCCGCCGGCCCGGAGCCTTCCGGGATGGATCATTTCTGTCAGCAGGTGCAGCAGAAGGACGTGGGCCGCAGGCTGCAGGTCGGGCAGGAGCTGCTCGAGTACCTGCGCGACCCCGCGGCGTCCCCGGACGTGGAGCAGGACCCGCAGCGGCTCGACAAAGTGATCGACGAGCTGGCGGCGTGGGTCAACTCCAGCAACTTCAAGGTGCGGGGCGGGGAGGGGCCGGGGCGCTCCTTGGCCACACGGACAGGCCGGCGTCTGGCCCGGCCTCCTGCCCTTCCTCCCCCGGAGACTCGGGAATCTGGCCTGGCTTTGGCTAACACTTCTCGCTTTCTGTTCCTTTTATCGTTGCCTGAACATTGCAGCACATTCCCTCTTGGGGGACACCCCCCCAACTGTTTCCTTAGCCTGACATAGCATGGCTATAACATAGCTAGTAATTCTTTTTTTGCTACCCCTCCCATTCCCTTCCCGTGCTGGGCTCTCTGCGCTTGGTGTAATGTTTCCTGGGATTCCCAGGATTTCCTGCAGGCCCTAAAGAGTCTTTTTCACTGTGTTCGTATTTCTCTCTGTTTAATGACTGAATTGCTTCCTCGGGTTCCAGTTGTAAATTTAAAGTTTTTCTATCGCTTTTAGGTGGCTTTTCCGTAGACGAGAAGTTACACGGTATTTTTATAGGTACCCGATGATGACTCATGTTTGGCTTTTTTTCCTGGTGCGCTTTTGGCTGACATACAGGAAAACAGTATTTACGGTGGACACGTGGGGAAGTAATATTTGTCAAATTTTCTGCTGTTGGTCAGCCGATAACGATAGACAATGTAGCTTTATTACCAAGCGCGATCGCATTCGTCTTAGCGCTTTATTTTATTTTTTTATTTTTTCCTGCTGTATGTAACTGTCGCTGGTCTGCACTCCCGTCATCTGGTGGCGGTGTTGATCTGTACTGCTGAGCTCAGGTCTGGCAGCAGGGCAAGAGCCGCCCTTCCTGCTGCGCAGAGTCCAGAGTTGCTGTCTTGTCTCCTAAGACACTTGTCCTTAGGACCTCTGGACTTAGTGCATGGAGGTTATGGTATTTTTTTTTTCCTATTTCTGTAATCTATGGAGGAAAACATAGGAACACCTTGCAAAGGCAGTGTGTTTGTGAAATACTTACTTTTACTCCTTAGGTTTGACAATGCTGTGTACTTGGCTGTGTTTGCACATAGCACTTCTAAGTTTGAGGCCTGAAAATGATCAGGCTCAGCTGTATTTGCATGTATCTCGCTTTTTTTTTTTTTTTTTGAGCAAATTTGTTCCTAAAGGTCGGGTTAGTTACAGGGAGTAATGTGGGTTGGATAAAGATGATTTACTTGCTTTTGAATTCTTAATATGAGGATAGTTGTTGGCAGTTGATAAATGTCAAAGCTAGGCAAGTTATTTTAAAACATCCTTAGGTGTAAAGAGGAACTGTTTAGTCACTTCTCTCAGTAGGATAACATAAAAGTTGTTTCCTGCATTTTAAATAATGAAATTGGGAATTGAAAAGGAAATGTCAAGGTGTTGTGGTGGTCGTTTCTTTTTATCTTTGTAAAGCAAGTCATTCTGGTTGCTGTTGATGCAAGGTAATAGTGATGTTGGCTGTTAGGACTGCACAACAAAGAAGGAATGTACAGTAGGCCAGATAACCTCATATTTTGACTGAGGCTTGGGAAGGTTATTATAAAATCTTATAATTTATAATTGTAATTCTTATTATATAACAATTATAATTCTATAAGTAGATTTCTATAAATTACGATGATTATCATAATTCTTACTATATTCTTACAGTCTCCTTTTCTGTGTGTCACCTGTTGGTGGCTCTGTATACATATAAAACTGCATTTTAAAGCATATTGTACATGCAGTATTAATGGCAACAGCACGAGGTGTTGGATTTTTTGTTTGCAATCAGTTCTGGTGTCCCTATCTATGATGGTGTTGTTTGGCATCTGATGTTTCCAAATGAAAATAAGGAACATTCTGGAAAACATCTAAAATTCATATTTCATCTTAAACAAGCATGGATGTTACATGCAGTGGGACTTGATCTTCGTAGCTCCCTTCCAAGTGAAGTATCCTGTCCAATGTTTAACTGCTAGGTCTTAGTTTGTTGGTAAGCTCAGGGCCTGAATGATGACAGAAGATAATGAGTGTCACAGGCTTGTATGTATTCTCGAGACAAGTATTTCAGTAGACTTTGTTTTTAATTATGGTATTTCTGTTGATTTGTTGGATGCCTTTTTGTCTGATGAGGAATAAGTATTCCTAGAAAATCCTACTTACCATCTTTCTTCCTATGTTGTCTTGGAGGTCTTCAAAGTCCTGAAGTAATGAATCCCTCCCAGTTTGCATGGCAGTTTAATTGGGTGATGGTTATGGCTGGCAATTCACTTATTTGTCAGAACTGCTGAGCTAGATGAACTGGAGTTACAAGCAGGGGATATTTAGAGAAAGTTACAAGAGGGTGCATTATTTTCTTGGAGGTGACAGGTATGGATAATGAGGCAGTAACTAACATAACTTGCCCTGGACGGGCTATATTTTTTCCCACTCCACCAAGTGGGAAACTTCAGTTCTTCTACATGAAGTGCTCCATCTGAACATCCTGAAAAAGAAGAGAGATCTGGCAGCTCTTGGTTCTTCTCTGTGCAATGTCTGAGAAGACACGACATCCTATGAGAGTTTCTGCCTCAAGTAACCACAAGGAGAGGAACTGGAGGAAATAGGAACAGAAGGGCTGATTTGGCAGACTTGGTAACGAATGAAAAGAGATGAGGGGTTCAGTAAGCAAGTGTGGACTTGTTATCGGCAGGGTTGAATTGAGGTCGAAATCTTTTTGCTACAAGTGCTTTTGCTTTTTGGAAGTTCGCAGCTATTCATAGCAGTTTACTAAGCAAAACTCAAACGGTAGTTCCAAACTATAAAAGCTGATCAGGAAAATGTCTGCGTTCATCTTTCTCATTGGAGAGGAGAGCAGTTACCAGTTGGAGCTGCTGACAAATCAGTAAGGTGGGATTAAGAACATGCATTGATTCAGCTATGAATGGCATGGAGTGAACGTTTGTTGCAGAACACTGCAAGCCTCCTAGAGAGGGAGATGAGCTGTCATCCCAGGCTGTCTGTAAGGGGTGTCCTGGGGACTTGAGTTGGGGTGTCCACTGTGCAACCAGCGATGTAGCAGCTTCCAAAGATGCTCGGAAACTTGTCAATACCAGGGAATACCCAGAAGAGGTGCACAATTAAACCTTTTCATTTCGGACCTCATTACAATCACAAAGTTGCCCACTGAACTGGAAATTGTTTGCCTAGCATCCTGGTGCTATGATTTGTTTTAATATACAGTGGCTGTGACTTTGATTTGTTGTTGCAACCTAAAAGTTTTTCATGATTTTGTGTTTTTTAAGTGGCCGTTTTCCCAACGCTGCGAACAATAGTGGGGAAAAAATGAAGGGGAATGAATTAATGAATTCTGATTTTATTTATTTATTTATTTATTTATTTTAAAGAGAAGTTGGATGCAGAGTATTGAGAGTTGGCTGATGGCATTACTTCACTGGTATTCATTTTCCTCAGACTTAGAAATACCTGTCAGACTCAGAAAACTGGAGCAGTGATAATATTTGTGATAATACTTCTGGGTATCTTGAAGCAGTGAACTGATGACTTCTGGAGTGTCCCATCCTTTTATTACTAACATATATAATCACTGGCTTTATGGGACTAACCTGGATGTTCTTCTTGATGAATATATGAGAATAAAACATCACTGGTCTTGTGTCAGAGCAGTAGATTTTTTTTTCCATGTGTTTTTTTGCAAAGCAGGTTTCAGTAATGAAGGAGAAATTGGAATGGCAATTAAGCAAAAAGGCTATGTAACAGCTAGAACCACCGGTGAATGAGGTGGGAGCTGAAGTTGAAAGGCATTTGAACAAAAAGGAGTGAGCAGCAGTGACGCAGAGTGGAGACAGACAGAGGACCAGGTCAGAATATGAGAAAAAATGTCTCAGGGTGCAGAAATGAATGCCACACGGGAGTCACTGCCACGTGCCTGAACCACACACATTTCAAACACACATGGAAAACGTCTCTTACCACCACACGTGTGGACAAGGCTATTGCCCCTGGACGCCTGAACGTGTTCAGGCCTCATCCCTGAGCACATGTGTAGCCACCACACACCTGAACATGCATGTAGCTGCCACATGCCTGAACAGGCGTCAACATGGGGGTAGCTGCCACACATATGAACATGGGTGTAGCCACCACATGTGTGAACACGTTACTGCAACAGGCTTCCACAGACATGAATGCTTGTGTTACTGCCAGAGGCGGAATCATGTGTTGCTGACGCATCCATGAACAGGCACGTGGCCGTCACACAGCAGAACACATGAGAACATTAGTGTTCCCAATACACACCTCAACACATGTAAACATGTCTTGCCACTGAATGGTTCCACATGTGTGAACACGTGTTGCCACCACGTGCCTGGACATGCGTGAGCATGTGTTGCCACTTCAGAAGTGAACAGGCATGTTGTAGCCACACACCTCCATATGCGTGACCATGTGTTGCTTCCATAGGCTGAACGTGTGAACATGAGTGAGCATGTGTGTTGTTGCCAACCCCCTGAAAATATGTGCAATTGTGTATTGTCACAACACAGGTGTTCAGAGGTGTCCATGCCTGGCGCGTTTTCTCCAAACACCTGAAAACATGTGAAAATGCATCTTGTTGCAACACATGTGAACACGTGCGTTGTCATCAAAGCCCTGAAATCATAAACAGGTGTTGTAACCAAATGCCTGAGAACACATCTATTCACGTTTTGTCACAACACACCTGAAAACATGTTTTTTCACAACATGCCTGAACACACATGAGCATGTGTTGTCACCATATGCCAGAAAATATGTGATAATGCATTTTGTCACAACACACATGAATATTTTCATGAAATAAATAATAATGAAAAAATATTTATTTTATGTGTTAGCTTTATCTCCGCTCAGATTAACTTTATTGCTTTTCCAGCAGATGCTGAAGTGCTGTTCCCATTGCTGCCCTTGTGTGTTGGAGGACAGATGCAACATGTGAAATACCTCTGATAAACCTCGGAGAACTCATGAATGTGCATTTATGTTTTCATGCATGAAAGGAGTGCCCTCAAACTATAAAGTAATCTTGCTTTCAGCATTTCTCAGTTCTAGAGTCCTCAGCTTGGTAAACTAAATAATATCCTGTTAGCATAGATTTGCATTTGAGCATGTAATGAAATGCCACCAAATGCTGATACCACTGGTTATTACATGTTGCTCAGATGAGGTTTATCAATTAAACGGATACAGTTTTTCTTCTCCACATGGAAAGAGACTTAAGATTCAGATGCATTTCATATACTGGAGTTATTAACCCCTGCTATTCCTGCTCCATACTCTGCTGCCACTACTGGTCCTTTCCCTGGTAATGGCAGAGATCTCTGTAGACATAGTGTAAAGAGTATGTAGAAATAATGAATTATAAGCTCATGAGTACTTGTTTCTGCTGTGCAGCTGAGACTGAAAAAAATAGAAGTTATTCATATTATTTCACGTGATTACTCAGGCCATTCAAACTTAACCAGTCTGGCTAGCATTTTGAATACAGACTATTCCTAGTAACATGGCTGCAAAGGATACACAGCTCAGGGATTCATGTTAAAAAAATTTTAGGGAAATCATTCTGAAAGAAGAACTTGCTTAAATAGATCATCTTTCAGCTGGTCACAGACAAAGCTACAAACAGTAGGAGAACATGCTTGTGGTGTGCAGTCCGTGGAATTGTAGCAGTTATTAGGTCAAGTCTAAGCAAGTGCATGAGATTTTGATTTCCTCCTCCTGCTGTTGTCCCTTTTGAGTTACTTGCACAAAAGCACCAACCAAATCAGATTTCACACAAAGGGATTCTTATCAGCACCTTCCATGTTACACAGGCAGATGAAAGAGAAGATATTTCTGATAACATATAAAGTTATTCTATTTCTAGGTCGTTCAACAGATTCACCACCGCACAGGGAAGGAAATCAGCTCTTTCGACTCTGCCCCTGAGACAAATCCCCAGGAGACAAATCATTCGCTTTGTTTACAGTGAGTCTTTGCTCTCTGCTTTTGACTTCATACACAACTTGACACAAGTTTGCCAGGCAAATGCTATTCTTTTTATCTTGCTTTAATGTTCTCAGGGATTTTTCTTTTTTTTTTTGTTAGCTGGCTTTGTTTTGGATTGGCATTTTGTGGACTCTCACAGTCAAGACCTCTGAGATAGTTCTAAAGCCCAGCATTACTTGCTGCTCTCCCGAGTTCAGTGATACAGGGGCAAATAGGAGTTTGGAGGTGTGAGGCTCAGAAACAAAACAAAACAAACAAACAAACAAAAACAATAACAATCCAATTTTCTTGTCAAAATGACAGAAATACACTAGGTTATGCTCCCAGGAATGTCCTTGGGTGATGCACTGAATGCTGGAATCCAGTGGTTTGCTCCCAGGTTTTTAAGGTGCTTTCCTGAGAGGGGCTGGGAAGGGGGCCTTGTGAGCCCTATATCTTGCTGCCCATACCTCATGTGCTGTGCAGCCACCTCAGCTCTCCTGGGGTAGCCTTCAATGTGAGGCTACCTCATGAACACCTCAAAGCTCTGTCATGCTGCGTCTGTGCTTTGTTTATGACAGCCCCCATCTTGCAGAGCAGCAGGAGGAGGCCTGTGAGGAACACATGCATCATTAGCCCCTCCAGCAAGGGCAAGATACTCAGTGTACTTGGTGTTGAGTTGGGCTGAGCTGTACTTTGAAGCTCTCAAGGACAGGGAAATGCTGCTTCCTTACCTTGGGTTGTTGCAAAACAGCTTTTAATGGTTGACAGGTATTTTTGAGAAAGTAAATAAGGAACTCTGTGTTTTTTCAGGGGAATATGTAGCGTGCCTTTTTGAAACTACCAAGTAAAAATTATGCCCGTGGCTTTTCAAAGAAAACTCTCACTAAGCACTGAAGAGAGGGGCATGGTTTTGTGGGCAAGCAGTAGGGTACAACTTTACTTGCAGCAGCACAGGCAATGAGGCTGTGTTGCCTGTTATCCGCAGATGTCATGAATTGCATGGCCCCAGGATGGCCTAAAGGAAAAACTTGTCCCAGTTGCAACAGAAGTTTTGGAATTTAGTAGGAACCTTTAATAAGGTTCCTTGTTAATCCAGCAGCAAAATCCTTTCCCTCCTGCGCTCTGTGACCAAGACAGAGAATAAGTATTCTGGGCTGGAAGACCTACAAAAAGAGGCCTGGTTTTACAGACCCTGGTTTCAGGCCCCTAGAAAGGGATTGCTTCAAGCTGTAAGAAGTCCAACCACTCCTTGTTTAACCTCTTCACTCTGTCCAGAGCTTTCTGATGCCTCCGGCTGCTGTGTTCATGCCCTTCCCCAGCCAAAATGGAGCCAGGTGGAGAGAAAGTGAGGCTGTAGACCCAGAGAACTCCCTCTTACAGGGTTTGGAGAGCAGAGAAAGTATCAGAGAAAAGCAGGAGCATCTCTTCCTTGGTCTGTTTTGCACCCTTTTGGTATGTACTTACCCCAATGTTTGATGATTGTTAATGCAAGTGTTCCCATGCTGTGGATTTTACTTTCATAGTAGGAGGTTAAAGTTTCAGCTTCTGATGGATGTAGCTTTTTGTAACTATCAATAAAAGCAGTGGATGAAGGTGAAGTCCTTGAACTCTAAATTGGCTAAGATCCAACTATTGAATCGGCTTGCGTTGGTGTGCTACAGTTTATAATTAGTCTAATCTCTGATAGATTATAATTAATCTCTGTAAGGACAGAAATTAGACAAGTGGTGCTGAGACTGCTGAATCATGTGATAATGGTCATAGGGAAGAGTATCAGAATTTTGTTGCTAGGATAGCACCCCTCTTCTGGAGGAGGAAGTGTTGTCTCTTTCCTGATGGTAACAACTTTTCGTGGCAGGACAGCCAGTCTTCATCACTGGAGAAATGTGTCTGTAAAACCAGTGTGTCTCCTACTTCATGCAACAAACAGAATATAGAAGACCACTCATTTGGATGCCAGACAAACATGCTAACCCCTTGCAGCTGGGTTGTGATGAGAAGGATTTTGCTTGTTATTTTTTCTGACAATGCTTAGGTAGTTCTGGGTACACAAAATTTATGGAGTCCATAAGACTTCTGCTCTCCTCCCTTGCTTGTGAGGAGGGTGGACTTTGTGTTGTGAAAGACAGGTTTTTACACTGTAAACTAGCTGTGATGCAGCTACATCACCAAGGCTTAGGAAAACAAGTTTATTTTGCTCCTTTTGATGGTGCTTAATTGAGAGGGGCTCATGGACCTTGTTTTTCATTCCAAGAAAAACTGTTTCTATTCTTATAGTGGAAGGAACTACATAATGTACCTAATGCTGAGCTAGCTGTTGTATTGCCTGATACTGCTTCTCAGGAAAGTCACATTAAAACCATTATAAGACTTGTGGCCAACCCAGGACTTCTGCTAGAGCAGGACAGTGGACCTCTTCCACTTGTATAACCGGTGCTTGACAGGCAACTTGTTTTCTGTGGCATGAGTCTGGGCTGGAACGGATGGAAACAGTAAACTAAAATAGATAACTCTTGGGATAATGTGGTGAAAATTACATGAAGTAGCACCTGTTACAGTACCAAGTAAATTTGTGGGACCTTCACCTCTCTAGCATTTTGCCTGGTCACACTTTTATCCCTCTTCCTCAGTGACAGGCATCTTAGAGGACACTGCCCCAGAGAAGCTGCTTGCTGGTCATGATGCACCGCCTGGGTGATTTTATTTTCTGCAGCTGAGGTTGTGGTAATTTGTCCTGTCCCTGCTCCTGCCTTCTTCCCCACAGCCCTGTTGCATGCTGTTCTACTCCCATCACCCTGTAAGCTCACAACAAAGCCTTTCACTAGGGAATGAAGGGACTCTCCCAGTGTCTCCTCCTGTCTCCATAAGGTCCTGTGCCAATTCTGTTATGGGGCTCAGCAGTATGACTGTGTAAACTTGCTTGTGGTTGAAATTATGTCCTCATAATCCCAATAACGGGGGTGGTGGGACCATTTAAACATTAACTGTTGTGTGATGGGCATAAGGGGTAATTATGGCAGGGTGTTTTTATCTAAACAAACATTCTCTTATGAACTTACATAAGCATACTTGATAAGGGGGGAAAAAAATTAGATTTTAAAAGAATTAAATTCTTAGCACAGATTTTAATTTGGAATGATGCCCTTCCCTGCCCCAACCAAACAGAGTATCTGCATACTTAAACTGGAAGGTGACTGGGGCTAATGAGACCCTTGTTCTGCTCTTGGTTGTGCTTCTGGCTGGCAGGCTGAACTTCTTCAGGCAGCCTCCCTTTTCCCCACTTAAAAAGGGTATAAAATGATATTGACCCAATTGGCAAAGTGTGTTGAGGTGGCAGCTTCGCTTCTCTGAGGAACTTGTGGCAGGTCAGAGGCTTGATAACAGCCAAGAACAAAGATGAGGTGTCATCTGGTGTGCATATGGAAGCGCTCCCACTACAGACACTATTTGGCATACAAGACCTGAGCTAAGCACTTCACGTGAAAGGTAACTGCAATGGAAGCACACTGAGATCACTTTGTTCATGGTTACTTCCTTGATAAAACAACCTGCAAACTGTGAAAACTCTTTCCCTTAGCAACTTTTCTTTTTCTCCCACAGCTCCTATTGTATGAATATTCTTATCCTATGTCCTGATAAAAATGTGTTATTTTGAAACCTTTTGCTGGTAACAGCAAAACCTTTTGCTGGTAACAAAACCAGTTATGTCCTGCTCATGCTTTCTAATGACATGGTTCGAAACCTTGTATGTGGACACACTCCGACCTTAACTGGTACTCAGACTGTGGTCTTCCATGAAAACACATAGCTGTCACTTGAATCACGGAATCACAGAATTTCTAGGTTGGAAGAGACCTCACGATCATCGAGTCCAACCTCTGACCTAACGCTAACAGTCCCCACTAAACCATATCCCTAAGCTCTACATCTAAACATCTTTTAAAGACTTCCAGGGATGGTGACTCCACCACTTCCCTGGGCAGCCTGTTCCAATGTCTAACAACCCTTTCGGTAAAGAAGTTCTTCCTAACATCTAACCTAAATCTCCCCTGGCGCAACTTAAGCCCATTCCCCCTCATCCTGTCACCAGGCACGTGGGAGAACAGGCCAACCCCCACCTCGCTACAGCCTCCTTTAAGGTATCTGTAGAGAGTGATAAGGTCGCCCCTGAGCCTCCTCTTCTCCAGGCTGAACAAGCCCAGCTCCTTCAGCTGCTCCTTGTAGGACGTGTTCTCCAGGCCCCTCACCAGCTTCGTCGCCCTTCTCTGGACCCGCTCAAGCACCTCGATGTCCTTCTTGTAGCGAGGGGTCCAAAACTGAACACAGTACTCGAGGTGCGGCCTCACCAGAGCCGAGTACAGGGGGACGATCACCTCCCTAGCCCTGCTGGTCACACTGTTTCTGATACAAGCCAGGATGCTGTTCGCCTTCTTGGCCACCTGAGCACACTGCTGGCTCATATTCAGCCGACTATCCACCATCACTCCCAGGTCCTCCTCTGCCTGGCAGCTCTCCAACCGCTCATCTCCCAGCCTGTAGCTCTGCTTGGGGTTGTTGCGCCCCAGGTGCAGGACCTGGCACTTGGCCTTGTTGAACTTCATGCAGTTGACCTCAGCCCATCGGTGCAGCCTATCCAGATCCTCCTGCAGAGCCTTCCTACCCTCAAGCAGATCAACACACGCACCTAACTTGGTGTCATCTGCGAACTTACTGAGGGTGCACTCAATGCCCTCGTCCAGATCATTGATGAAGATATTAAAGAGGACCGGCCCCAGCACCGAGCCCTGGGGGACGCCACTAGTGACCGGCCTCCAAACTGGACTTGGCTCCATTTACCATGACTCTTTGGGCCCGGCTATCCAGCCAGTTTCTAACCCAACGAAGCGTGCACCAGTCCAAGCCAAGAGCAGCCAGTTTCTTGAGGAGAATGCTGTGGGAGACGGTGTCAAAAGCCTTGCTGAAGTCAAGGTAGACCACATCCACAGCCTTTCCCTCGTCCACCCAGCGCGTCACTTTGTCATAGAAGGAGATCAGGTTCGTCAAGCAGGATCTGCCTTCCATAAACCCATGCTGACTGGGCCTGATCGCCTGCTTGCCCTTCAAGTGCCGCATGATGACTCCCAAGAGGATCTGCTCCATGAGCTTCCCTGGCACTGAGGTCAAACTGACAGGCCTGATGACTTAGTTTAATGACTTATTGACTTAGTTTATTTCCTTTTTACTTGCCTAATTTTATTTTCTATTTTTAACTGGGAATATTTATAATATTAGAAAAGTATTTTCACAGAATCAGAATCACAGAATTGTCTAGGTTGGAAGAGACCTCAAAATCATCAAGTCCAACCTCTGACCTAACACTAACAAGTCCTCCACTAAACCATATCCCTAAGTTCAACATCTAAAACAACTTTTTAAAACCTCTTTTAAAGGCCTCCAGGGATTGTGACTCCACCCTAGGCAGCCCATTCCAATGCCTCACAACCCTCTCAGTAAAGAAGTTCTTCCTAGTATCCAACCTAAAACACCCCCGGTGCAACTTTAGTCCATTCCCCCTTGTGCTTTCACCAGGCATGTGGGAGAATAGACCAATCCCCATCTCGCTACAGCCTTCTTTAAGGTACCTGTAGAGAACAATAAGGTCGCCCCTGAGCCTCCTCTTCTCCAGGCTGAACAAGCCCAGCTCCCTCAGCTGCTCCTCGTAAGACTTGTTCTCCAGACCCCTCACCAGCTTCGTTGCCTTCGTTGCCGTTCTCGCTTGAGCACCTCGATGTCCTTCTTGTAGCGAGGGGCCCAAAACTGAACACAGCACTCAAGGTGCGGCCTCACCAGATTCGGGGTGGGCAGTTTGGGATGAGAACTTACACCTGTCCCTGATACAAACAATTTCTCAAGTAATTAATAAGACAAACTGTTGGGTATGCACCCATCTGCCACAGCATGGGAATAAGGGTGTATCGTTAATCAGGATTCCCTTGTCTGCAAACTTACCTTGGACTAATTTGTGGGAAAACACATCTTGGGGTCAAAAATATGAAGAAGTTTTGGAACTAGAAGTTAGTAGCTTCGTGCCATTGGAATCTTACTATGTATGTGTACAAAGGTGTAACCCGCCTAAGGGTATGGGAAAACAGGATTGTATAAATACGGGTACTACTTATGTGGGAAATCAGACATCTTGTAATCAAACAATTGATATTAGTACAACTAGCAGTTGGGCAAATTCAACCAGCTGGCCGGTTCCAGAAGGAAAAGGGTGGTATTGGCTATGCAATGATACAGCCCGTAAGGTCTTGCCCGAGAACTGGAAGGGAACTTGCAGTCTTGGAGCAGTAGTCCCCAGTATGACAGTACATGATGTAGTGCCTCGAGGTTACTTGAGAAATCATATCTGGAGAATTAGACGAAAAATTAACAATCCATTGATAGAGAGACACACCGCTTTTCATAGTTTTGTTCGCCCATGGTTAGGAGTGAATGAATTGGAAAAGGCGATAGTTAATATTTCTGCAATTATAGAGAAGTTAGAAAACAAAACTCTGGATGCTATAAAGGCTCAACGAGAAGAGATATCTAGTTTATCACAGGTAGTATTACAAAATCGGATGGCCCTAGACTTGTTACTGGCCGCTCAAGGGGGAGTCTGTACAGTAATAAATACAAGTTGTTGTATGTATGTAGATCAGAGTGGAAGGATCTCTACCGACCTGGAAGAAATATGGAAGCAAACAAGGGTCCTACATGAGATCAGTAAAGATGATCTTTCATGGAGTTTTAGTGAAATATGGAATAAGTTAACCTCCTGATTGCCCAATTTCCAATGGTTGAAACAAGTGTTCATTGCTCCAATCACATTAGTAGTGTTAGGAATATTTGTGTGCATGTTGTTTAGATGCCTGCTTTGTTGTGTTACTGTAAATAATGAAAGTATCTGATGCAAAAGAATTTGCATGGGAAAAGAAAAGGGGGGATTGATTAAGGAGGTATTGGGGAGGCATTGGGGAGGCAAGGACAATCCCCAGACATGGACTGTATATCTCGAAACAAGACACTGGAACTCATGATAAGGAAGCGGCAGACGGACAGAGAAACAAATGTAAGGACTATAAATCTCAAAATTGGACATTGGAATTCATTATAAAGATACAACAAATGGAAGAATTGGCAACAACCAGCTCTCGCAATTAAGAAACGTGCCAATTCAGCAGATTCCTGACCAAAGGTGAAAAGTACACTGTGAGGAAGACTCGGGGTCTTCCTCCCAAAGACCCCTGCCCACGTCCCAAAGACCCCTGCCCACAATTCTTGGGAGGCTCTACGCAGGCGCAAGGTGCCAAAAGGCTAATTAGCATGAGAAGCGAGGGAAGGCGGGGATAGATAATGCATATGTATAGGCGCTTGTAGAATATTGATAGATTGATTGTATAAATTCAAGACTGCTTTCCGCTTTGGGTATGCACGATAGGTGGAGAGATCCCCCGTGCATCCAGCGCTGCAATAAAGAATATACCACTTAAAGGAATTTCGGCTTCGATCTTTGAATCACATGACCGCTAATCACAAAGGGGGTTGTTTTCCTGACTGCTAATCAAAAGGGGGGTTCTTTTCTTGCAGGTGGGGTTGTTTTCTTATAGTTTTTTGTCTGAGTGCTTTTGACCAATAATCTTGTGTGAAACACTGTCCGCCCCTGTAAAGTTCACTATAAAAGTTAGGCTATTCGGGCAATAAAATGGAGCAGCATGATCTGACTCTGCTGGTGTCTGTCGTGCTTTCGGCCGTGCTTCGCAACAAATGGCGCCCGAACAGGCTGGGACCTGAACAGGGCTTGAACAGACATCGCAGCGGGACAGACATCGCACCGGAGCAGGACATCGCAGCCGAGCACGGACATCGCAGCGGCGCCGGGGCAAACATCGCAGCGCAGCGGGACAGCAGCGGCGCCGGCACATCCGAACGCAGGTAGACCAGGAGACCAGCGGCGTCGGGACCAGCGGCGCCGGGACCAGTGCCGCTGGGGACCAGCGGCGCCGCGACATCACAGCGCCGAGACTGAGACATCGGAGCGGCGCGGGACATCGGAGCGGACATCGGAGCGGCGCTGCAGCTGACCAGACACCAAGCCGCACACGCTGTACACAGGAGTCACGGTGAGACGCGCTACTCCCGGTGAGAGACGCGGGACACGGGGGGACGCGGGGACGCGGGGACTCCCGGTGAGAGACGCGGGACACGGAACCGCGCAGGAAATTGAAGTAAAAGGGACGATAATCCCCGCACCCGCAGCCTGAGAGGTGAACGGGACGTAACGGGACGTAAACGCGGAATCCCCGCACCCGGGGGCACCTATAGAGGGTCCCTGTCAGTCGTGTCTCGCAAAGGCTGCAACAGCATAAATAAAGGCATGGAGACACAAGCGGCATATGATTTGCTAAAATGCTTTTTAGAAAAGCAGAGCACGCAGGGTATAGACTGCAAAAAGGATTTACCAGGATTATTAGCATATGGAGTAGCACAGGGTTGTTTTATCAATCCGGATACAGTTTTTGAACAAGCAGAGTGGCGCAAATTTGGGGACAAATTGTTTGATGAAGTTATTAAGGACAATAAGACTGCTAAAAAATTATCGAAGCCTTGGAAAGCTGTCACTAACGCCTTAGCTATACATCAGGCTGAGCAGAGAGTCGCTGCTGCCGCTACAGAGCGACTGGGATTGCCAGGAAGAGCTGCTAGTGTTAACCCTCAGATGGACGAGGAAATAAGAGAGCAAAAACCAGATAGGAAAAACACAAGCCCGTTTACAGACGGTGTTCAACAGAGGCAGAGGGTGTGGAACCAAATAGCAAATGAGGCCCTACGTGAGGGTGAACACGAGATAGCTGCACAATTGGTTCCAGAGGCCTTCCTGGTAATATACTCACCGCCGGACGCCCAGGGTAATGTTACGGTTAATCTAGTGAATTTGGACTGGAAATTGTTAACTCAGCTGCGGTCCACAGTAAACGAGTCAGGTCTGAAAGGTGAACCTACGAGACAGATGCTGGACTACATTTGGGGAACAAATATTTTGCTTCCAGGAGACATACGCAACATAATGAAGTTAATTTTGACCCAACACCAGCAGCTCTTATTTAATGCCCATTGGCACGCTGCTTGTCAAGAAGCAGTCGCAGTGATAAGAGCGCCGGGGGACCCTTTACATGGGGTCACGCTGGAAGAGTTGATGGGGATAGGACCGTATTTTAGGACAGAAGCACAGGCATTGCTGGGACCTGATAAAGCCAAGGAATCAATGAGAACGGCCAGAAGAGCATTGGATCGGATAAAGGGGCCAGGGGGAATACCTTCCTACATGAGAATCAAACAGGGTAGAGAGGAACCATTTGGGCTTTTTATTGATCGCGTAGCAAACGCCATACAGGCAGCAGGGGTGCCCGATTACCTCAAGGGCATGATATTAAACCAGTGCGCAATTCAGAATAGCAACCCCTCTACCCGCACTATATTGGCTTCCTTACCCGGGACATGGACAATCGAGGAAGGGTTGGAAAGAATGGCTCAGGTACCAGTAGGCCCACAGGCTATGTTAGTAGAGGCAGTAAAGCAATTAGGTGACAGCATGCGAGAACAGGCACAGGCTGTGAAAGAGCATGTTCAGTCTACACAGAGTCAGGTCCTTGCAGCTCTTGCTCCTTTGCAAACCGCCGGTGGTCAAGTACCACCCCCTAGTAGCCAATTACCACACCGCTGCCGATGTTATCGTTGTGGTGCTTTTGGACACGTGAGACGATACTGCAAAGCTGGGGCAGTATGGTGCTCAAATTGTCAGTCGAACAATCACAAGGAAGCGGCATGTCGACGCAACGTGCCGGGAAACGGTTGCGGCCGGGGCAGCCCCTCCGGCTGCGGGGCGCCCCTCGCCGCCTTCTGCAACGCCTCCGGAGAGGGGCGGCCGGAGCCGGAGGCGGCCGGGCTGGCGCATGTCAGGGCGAAGTTCAGCAGGATGGTGGAGGCCGTGGACAAGACGATGGAGAAGCGGCTCGACAGGCTGACCGGGGAGCTGGCCCAGAAGACGGCGGAGCTGCTGGAGGTGCGGGCGGCCTTCGTGCAGCTCTCGCAGAAGCAGCAGGAGGTGCAGCGGAGGGAGCGGGTGCTCAGCAGGCAGGTGGACGTGGCGGTGGAGATGATCGCGGCCTTGAAGCAGCGCCTCAGCGAGTTCGAGGAGGAGGCAGAAAAAGAATTGCGGGGAAAAGCCAGGCTCCAGCACTTCATTGAGAATCTGCTGCAGCGCGTGGACCTGGCGGAGAGGCAGCTAGAGTATTACCAAAACCAGCAGATCGCCTGCAGCCGTATAGCAGATGTTACACGCTCTTTCCTAACTAGTAATCATGTGTCTCATCCATTTGTGGTGAATGGTCAGTGGCAAAAAGAAAAGGGGGAGAGTAAGGGGCGGCAAAGACAGAAACGGTACCAGGAGGATGCCACTGACACTGACGGCACGGGTAATAGCAGTAGTATAAGTGACACAGGTGCGGGGCGGCGGCAGGCGCCAGTGTCCTGGAAATGTGATGGTGAAAAGGACTGTGACAGTGGAGAAGATGAAGAGAATTGTGGCAATGTGACTTGTAGTGCAGCAGAATTTACATGCAATAGTGGGCAATGTATTTCCAAAAGCTTTGTCTGCGATGGTCAAGGTGACTGCTCCGACCACTCGGATGAATCTTTGGAGCAGTGTGGCCGCCAGCCTGCACCTCTGGTGAGGTGTTATGTGAGTGAGGTGCAGTGCGACTCAGGTGAAAAAGACTGTGACAGAGATCCTGATTGCAAGGATGGAAGTGATGAAATTAACTGCCCTTCTCAGACCTGCAGGCCAGACCAGTTCAGATGTGAAGATGGGAACTGTGTCCACGGAAGAAGGCAGTGCAGTGGTGTGAGAGACGGTCTGGATGGCACTGATGAAGCAAACTGTAACGATGTTATTCAGTGCTCTGGACCTGGCAAATTCAAGTGCAGAAGTGGAGAATGCATAGATATCAACAAAGTGTGTAACCAGCAGAGAGACTGCAAGGACTGGGGTGATGAGCCCCTGAAGGAATGCAACATAAATGAATGTGACTGTCTAGCTGGGTTTGAGTTTGTAGACAAGAGAAACTGTGGAGATATTGATGAATGTCAAAACCCTGGTATCTGTAGTCAAATCTGTATCAACCTGAAAGGTGGCTACAAATGTGAATGTAGCCGTGGATATCAGATGATTCCTGCTACAGGAACTGGGAAAGGGCCATACCGGTACAAAAATACAAATAACACCTGTGATTACAATGACGCTGCAAAGCAGGGTTTAGGGGTTCATAGTATGGAGACAAGGGGTAACAGCTACAGTGTTTGGAACAATTGTACAGCTTTGGCCTTACCTCCTGATGTTTTTCTGATTTGTGGGGATAAGGCCTGGCAAGGTATCGCTGCAAATGCTATCAGATGTCCATGTTACTTAGATAAACTCACTGTATTTGCTCCTAGCTTGTTACAGTTGTGTGAGATCACCAGACATAAATGGGCATTGCTTGCACCGGATTGCAATGATAATGTTGAATTGTGTGGGGTTGCAGCTAGAGCGGCCTTGGCAATTTTAGTGCTTGGAGTGGCATCTGTGGCCACACGTAACAACTGCTCGGCTACGGGGATCGGCTGCGGTGTGGACGCCCCTAGGTGCACCCTGAGCGTTTTGTTCAGAGGGGACTCCACTCTCAGCTGCTCACCGCAGGAGCAGACAACGATCTCCTGTAGCTGCAGACAAACAGTATGTTTTCAGCTGCTGGAGGGATACTAACTGGAGTGTTAATAATTGTATGTGTTATTCTTAAATGTCCAAGTATTTTGTGTTGAAAGTATTTGTGTAAGGGTAAGGTTTTAAAACAAAGTGTTGCAGGTCACTTCACGAGGAACACAATGAGAGACAATACTTGTTTGGTTGGTTATCATTCTAAATTATATTCTTGTGGTATGATTGAGGTTGTGGTATGATTGAGAGTGAGATGTGCCAGAGGCCTCTGGGTGTACGATTGTGCTCTGTATGTGTGATTGTACTGTGTACTGCGTGAGTGAGAGTGCATTTATAACCATAGTACAGGTTATCGTTGCCATAGTGCAGGATTCCGGAATATAGCCTTAGTACAGGTTATTGTTGCCATAGTGTAGGATCCCAGGATATAACCACAGTGCAGGCTAAAAGCATAGGTAATTGGTGCCGGCAAAAATCATAGAAAAATGGATTTATTAGAAAGATTCAATATGATATCAATCCTTTCAATCAATGGTTCACTGATTTGTTTGAAACAATGCATAGATGGTTACTGGGATTAGTCAAAGGGGCATTAAGGATTCTGTTCATTGTGGTGTCAATCATCATTACACGTAGTATTGTGATAAATGTGGTTAAAGGGTTACTTGCAAAATGTTATAGGGATTTTGAAGTGGTGCCGGGAACAGGTACCCAGTGGATCACTGCAAAGTGGACTGAAGCAGTTTTAGAATCTGCACACACTGAAGACGACCAAGAAGAGGTTCCTGATTCTGACAATGACATGGGCTGTGACACCTCAAGGACTGTCAAGAACAGCCTTTGATCACCATCAAGTGATTAGGTTTAAGTGTGTTACTATTAAGTTGTGTTGCTTACTATTAAATTGTGTTACCATTAAGTGCTTACAGTAATTGTAGTGTTATTAGGGTTAAGTTGTATAGTTGTGTTATGTTACGTATTTGACATCTGATGTAAAACCAAGTACTGCTTGTACAAAAAGAAAACGGGGGAATTGTTGGGAATTGGCATACAGGACGTGGACATGTGCCCATGGAACAATTGTTCGATCTGAGCTTGCTTTAAGCAACCAGGGGTAGGCCTTAGAAATCTCAGGGCCTGCTGTAGCTGAGCAAGCCAAGCTGCCAGAGTAACTGTGAGAAGCTCCCAGGGCAGTGACTCCCACATCGCCCAATTAAGGAACTCAGAAAATACTGTTACCAGCAGCTGGCCTCAAGGACTAGGTCTACATGACCGCTAATCACAAAGGGGGTTGTTTTCCTGACTGCTAATCAAAAGGGGGGTTCTTTTCTTGCAGGTGGGGTTGTTTTCTTATAGTTTTTTGTCTGAGTGCTTTTGACCAATAATCTTGTGTGAAACACTGTCCGCCCCTGTAAAGTTCACTATAAAAGTTAGGCTATTCGGGCAATAAAATGGAGCAGCATGATCTGACTCTGCTGGTGTCTGTCGTGCTTTCGGCCGTGCTTCGCAACAAAAGGAGATGCAACCCATCTGGATTTCAACTTGCAGTTTTACTTCCAGCAACAAAGACAACTTCACTTAGAATAGAAGGGGCAGATGCACCCTAACAAACGCAGCGCTTAATGTAATGCTCTCCTATGTTCGTATTTATAGAAAATATTAACCAGATGTCTCTTAACATCTCTGCTCCTTTAGCAGGTAGGAAGTACAACTGCTTGTTTTCAGCTGTGTAACTGGTACCACAAGCAGATACAACTTCTAATTTGTCTCTAAGTGTGTGTGGGGGGGGGACTTGAGGAGTTGTAGAAAACATGAAAGCTTATATCTTTGTTGCCTCGCTTTTAATTACTTCAGAACATGGAACTATTAAATTATAATATTGCATGTTCTTTTAGAAATAAGGATAAGGTGTAGGTCACTTAAAAGCTCACAATTTCTTAGTGTCTTGGACAACGCGAAAACGTTGTGGACTGCTACAGTTTAAGAAAATGAAGAAGACTTCTAATCGTAGTCCCCTTGGCTATGTATCCTTCTTGTCATGGCTAAAACAATTGAGACACATCAGAAATGAAACTCCCGAGTTGTGAATTAATAATATTAAAAGCGTTGGACAGGGTGAGCATCTAAGAAACTGACCTCAAAGTTAAGATTATTCTTGCCCCTCCCTCACATTTTTTCTAGCTGACGGACTGCAATAAACTGAGCGTTTGCAGCTGCATTCCTTGAGAAAGACAGAAGACAGATTCTTTCAACCATGGCAAACCAGGTAAGATCCTGTGGTGAGAAATTCAGGTTTGTAGTGTCTAAATGGATCCCAGAACCATACTCAGAATTCCTAGTAAATGTAAAGCTGAAATGGCTGGCTCACTCTGAGTTGGGTGTTCTAGTCCTGTGATTTCCTCTGCTAATTTGGTAATTGGTGGTTGTCTTCTGGATGCTTGATCATAACAACCGAAGCAGGTTGGGGGCAAAACGTTAAGCTTTGCAGTTTGGATTATTTGAGCATGAGTTCTTCTGAAGGATCTTGTGAGTAACACTCTCTAGGTAAGTTATGTAGAGGTGTTCTAGAGGAAGAACACTAAAGCCTGCGTAAGTAAAAGCTACTGAAAAACGCCAATCATATTTTTGGAAATCCTTGTTCTTCAGAATACTAAATGAGGGAGGCAACCTGTGTTGTTATGGCTGTTTCTCTCCTCTTTTCTGTAGTTATCACACTTCCTTTTTAACTGTGGCTTTTTTTTATTATTTTTATTTTATTTTATTTTTATTTTTTATTTTTGGAGGCACTCTTTTTTATGCCTCTTAGTTCCTGGCCTTGCATCTGGGTTTTGAGTTTTCCCCTCAGCCAAGTTAGTGCCTGTTCCTGGTCTGCTTTCTCCTTGCGTTCCATTAATGGGCCTCCTGTCGTCGTTCCTGGCCTGAGAGAGTGACTGGCAGCTAGGTAGTGAGGAGAGGCATCTCACATAAGGAAGAAGAATTCCTAGGAAAGGGGAGACAGGGACAGATGAGATTTCTTCTGAGCAGGAGTGATGATTTCCTGCATGTTCATCACTCACTGTGCTACTGAAGACTTTTTTTTTTGAGAGTCCGAGAGCTCAAATGGAGCACAATCCAGTCCTAAGCTAATTAGCGCATAGGATTGACCAGCATCGAAGGGCTAACTGCTTTTTTCCGAATTCCAAGAGGAAGCTGTCAATCCTTTAGCCAGCTTGACAAGTCAGGGGAATATGGCTGTTCATACAATCCTTTGGCTCTGTTATTTTTGCCAGGCGTTTTCCCCAGAGGCTGCTTTCCCTCATGGGAGGCAGAGGGAGAAATGGGACCCCAGGCTTCTTTCAAGGGCAAGGTGAATATGGGGAAATCACCTGTGGTGATGGGGAGTGGGAGGGAGGAATGTAAATGAGGCTAAATACTATAGAGGTGTTTTTTTATCCCAACAGGACTTGCTTGGGAAAAAACGAGAATGCCTCCAGGCCTACAGCTGGTGGAGAACACCACAGAAAAAACGAAAGAAAAGAACAAAATAAAACCAGGAAGAATAGGGTTTGTTAGTTGTAGTAGTTCAGCCAGGTAAAAACCTTTTGAAATGAGAAACTCTGCCTTACCTGTTTGAATTGGTAGCGAATGCCATCACTCACTTTTCAAATTCCAAAATGGCTGGTGTGGTTGCATAGATGCTAAATGTTGCATTGGCAACATGTGTCTATAAATAATGGTTTATTTGTAGTTGCTGTCTCCCATGGTCACTGGGAAGCAGTAGCAAACTAGTCATAGCTCCTTTGAATCGTGGCTGTGGTTTAAGTTGATCATTTTTCTTGGTATTTTTATGCTGCTTTCTTGTTCAGACAATAAACTATGCTTCTTCTTGAAACAAACTGTTGCAAGTTGTCAGAAAATGGGTCCTTGTTGCTGAAACAGTAGAATAGACCCAGAGTAATGGAAAACTTTAGATTAGAGTGGTGGCATTGCAATTTTCTACGCAACTCAGTAGAGTTCTGGACTTAGTACTCCTTACAGATTTGTCTCTTTTTTTTTTTTTTGTCTGATGATAACTAACTGTGAATATAATGGGAATCGGCTATCTTAGTCTTGAACCTTAAAATTGTTCTCTCTCTCTCTCTTTTTAAAGACCAGATTATTCAGTATTTGTTGGGGAGCTTACCCCAGAAGTGGATGATTTCCAGCTCTATGACTATTTCCCAAAGAGGTATCCCTCATGTATTGACTGCAAAACAGCAACAGACCTGCTGGGATATTCCAGGTAATTCCAGTGCAAATGTGTAACGTTATCAGTGTGTTCGCTTTTATAAGCGATATGTAAGAGCTTGCGTCGGAGCTGTTCCAGTGCTTTTTTTCTGGGGCACGAAGAGTGAGATTAGTCTTTAGCACTGCTTTTCTTAATAGCACAGATCCTTGAGTGTTTTTAAGAGCTTTCCGGTTAGTTCAAGCAGTTACTGTGATAAGCTTCAACTTACCCATATGCATATCTACATGGGGGGAAAAAAAAACAACTAGAAGCTGTGGGAGAAGGAAGAGCTGTGCACTGAAATCAGCGCTGCTGTGTGTCTACTTAGTCATCTGCAATACTGAAGACAAAATAATTCCTATTTTGTTTGGGGAAAAACATAAGCCCTGGCAAATCTTAGGGGGTTGGGTGATGGAACCTAATGTTAGTAGTAAATAAAGTCTAGCAGAAACTACTGGCCATGCAGTGAGTCAAGCAGGAATGAGCGAGTTTGCTGTTCAGACAATGCTGCCTGTAATAGACTAATTCAAGAACCTTTAGTTTTGTAACTGTTATGCATACTAGAATTTGTTTTCTCCCTTTTGAAAATTGTAGAAGGCATGCCTATGTCAGATTTGGTGAGCAAGGTGATCAGATGAGGGCACTGCAAGACTGCCAGAATGCACCAGGTCTGGGGGGAAAATGAATCCGGCTGAGCATAGGAATTTCTAAAAGGTAACCAATGAGTTGTGCATTGATACAGTTATTCTAAATAATCAGATTCTTGTAGCTCTGCCTTTGTAAAGTCTGTGGCCCTTGCTGTAATGGCTGTACACAGGATGCAGTCTACAAAACCAAAAATGCAGAAGTGCTATGTTTTGACTCCCTGGATTCATCAACCTGTTTCAGGATGGCTGGGGGAATCCACCTCTTATGTCTAGCCAGACAGTGTCACTTGGGCTTAGCTGCCATTGTAACCAGCCTTCTTTCTCAACAGTAGCAAAGCTGAATGCATTCGTAAATATTTTCAGGTTTGGGCCTATATGAACTAGAAGGGACAACAAGTGGTTTTATACGCTAGGGAGTTCTTGTTCTTAGACCTTTCCCTCTAGTTTGAGAAGAGCACAGAACTAGTTTCCCAGTGGGCTGACAGGAAAGAAGTGAGGGAACATCTGGGAATGCAGGGAGAAAGCCAAAGGAGTTTATTACTAGAACAGGTGTAGAATACTATTCTTTGCTTTTCATGAGCTTAGGGCAACGGGGAGTTTAAAGTTTAGCACTTCTTGAGAGGGTTTCTTACTCTACTGGCTCAGTTCTATCATTTATTTAGAGCAATTTAGGTCTCTGAATAGTTAAAGAACCGATACCAAATTTGATGAACTCTGATTCAGGATACTGACAAAAGAGGACTTCATATAAACAATTCCAATATGTTCATGAGGTTAGCTTGTGTGTTCTGTTAAACAGTAAAAAAATGACACTTCTGTTTCTGTTTACCTAGCATAATTCTGCAAATGTTGCCTCCTGCTTTAGAACAGAAATGCTCTTCTCCAAGAGAGCACTGTCCAAAATTTCTTTGCCAAATTTCTTTATTAAATTAATATTTTTATTTTGAAAACAAGAATAAGCCCCAAACATGTTTTCTCGCTTTGGCTATCCAGATGAATGTCAACAGTATTTTCAGATTTTCCTTCCCTACAGAACTGTATGTAGGAAGAGTGCAGTTGGAAACAGAAGATGTAAGATGATGTATCTTCTGTTTGTTTACTACAGTAACAAGACAATAGATTACCTCTTTATTAGAACTTGTGTAGCTTTACAGTATTGAAACAAGCATAGGTATTAAAAGACACATCAGTAACAAGTTTCTGAATGGCTGAGTACCATGCTCTCTTAGCATTGAAATATCCAGCCACTGGATTAGTTTCAGTTGTGTTTGCTTGTTTTGGAAGCTGTTTCAGAATGCCTTCAGCCTGTATTCTTGACAAAAAGCATAGAACTCACTTCTCTGCATCCCCAATTCAAGTCAGATAAATTGGGCACTGCAAACACAGAAGGCCTGCCTGTACAGAATCAGTGAAGAAAAGTCTAAACAGTGGATTTTTTTTTTAATATGCAACTGGGTTATCTGAACGTATTTTATGCAGTGTACATCAGTTTTAGTATAGATAGCACTTGTCTTGGTTCTTGTCCGTAGTCTGAAGCTGCCCCGGAGAAAATCTTGAAAGGGAAAGTAGTGAAAACTAATTAGCTGGCCCTTTCTTCTTCAGAACCGCTGTATTTTGTAATTCTCCCACTGGTAAGGCTTCCTACTGGACAATTGTGATTATGTAGTTAAGCAAGACTGACTTCACCTGAGTGGTATACTTGGCAGCTGTTGAATGTTTCATGGCCTGTAAACAAACCAAAAAATCAACTGAGCAGGTGGAGGTAGGCATGGCAAACTGTCAGGCAGTGTCAGATGCTTCTTTGAAATGGATAATCTGACTCCATTCACTTCTTTCTGGAAATAAGATCTAGTAATTAACCAAACAAAAGACAGAAGGGTTAAGACTGCATCTTTAAAGCAGCTGTGCTGGATAAATGTCTCTGGTCTTAATGAATCAATCTTTAGCAAAGCACAGAGACTTAGCAGCAGCTTTCTTATGCCAACACTAAAAATACTTGCTATATACAGGTAACAATGTCAAGGCTCTGGAGTTAACAATTACTTCTGGTATTGGCAAAGGTGAGGATGTTTGCTTCTGTATAGATGGGGTTTTGTGCTGTGACTTGTAGTCACCTAAGTGATGAACTCTGATTCAGGATGCTGACAAAAGAGGACTTCATATAAACAATTCCAATGTGTTCATGAGGTTAGCTTGTGTGTTCTGTTAAACAGTAAAAAAATAACACTTCTATTTCTGTTTACCTAGCATAATTCTGCAAATGTTGCCTCCTGCTTTAGAACAGAAATGCTCTTCTCCAAGAGAGCACTGTCCAAAATGACAGTAATAGCCAAATGCTGAATATTAATTAAATAATAAAAACTCGAGACAATTGAACAACTGTCTAATTTTCTACAATATTTGTTCAAAATGCATCGCACACAGGACAACTCCTGATTCAAAGGTGGCAATTTTAACAGAAAAGACAAGCTACTAATACAGACACTAAAGGAAACGCATCTTGAACAGCAGCTCAAGTTGCTCGTAAATGTACATTGAACGTAGTTGTTTTGTGTTTTTTTTTGTTTGTTTGCTTTTTTTTTTTTTTGCTGTTTTGTTTTTAAATCAGAAGTGAAGTTTTTGAACAATGTGGATTTAGATTCTGCTTCTTTTAAATTGATACAGTGAATGTCACAGATTTGCAGCTTTTGCAATATCTTTAGAACCGAAACTCTTTACTATTCTTTCTGCACCTGGGCTGAAGGTGGGACAGGAGCGTCGAGTTTTACAAACATTTCCTTTTCAATTCCACAAATTGTATTTACTTAAAATGAAACATTGATCATCTAGCTAGTTCTCTTAGTACCTCAGTTACAGTTACATCCTAACACATAAAGGAGATGCAACCCATCTGGATTTCAACTTGCAGTTTTACTTCTAGCAACAAAGACAACTTCACTTAGAATAGAAGGGGCAGATGCACCCTAACAAACGCAGTGCTTAATGTAATGCTCTCCTATGTTCATATTTATAGAAAATACTCTCTTAACCATAAGTTTGTTGTTTGTTTGTTTGTTTGAAATCAAAAATGCTAGCGTATTTTTTAAAAGGAGTTCATTATCTCACCAGGGTTTCTTAGAACGTCTAAGACGCTTCCTTCCTTTAATCCTCATCCATATTTAAAGGGAACTCTGAAGGGAACAGCAACAAAACCTTCCTTCTCCTCTTGCTCATTGTTGGTGGATGCGGATGAGCTAGTTTCTTTTGAAACAAAAGAAAACAAACAGCTGTCACAATGCGACCTACCTAGAGCACATTATACTCACTTGCGTTAGAAACAAGAATTTCCAACTTTCATGCTTCTCACCTAAGAACCTTCACCAATTCTACTTACTTTATAATGGTTTATAATTACAAGCAATAAAAACAGATCTGTCACTGGAAAAATACTGCGGAAGTCCAACACTGCCCGGAATTGCTAGCATGCACAGACAGGACAGGTTTAAGATTTAATAAAGAAGAAAAGAAAAATCAGCACTTCAGATGTGAAGTGCTAAGATTTCAGTTACCTAGGGTAAGAAAGGACGTCACGGGCGTATCACTGGATCCAGAAAGCTCTGATGATTTTACAACGGGAACACTAAATGTAAACCCAATCTGCTATGAACAAGAGAGGTTTTTCAGAGCCACAGGAACGTCAATCAAATGCATACACAAAACCAAATCTGAAAGCTGGTCTTCACATTTGTAGCATGCATGCTGAATGACAAATTACAAGCCAGAAGCCTACATAGTTCTCTCCATCAAGGCAGATTCAGCTTTAGTGTTCTGCAACAGCCTACTAAATGCCTAAGAAAACAAGTCTAGCTTCTTTATTAGTTTACTTACAGGAAATGTAGATAGCACTTCTGCCTCTGTAGACTTCACAATTGGAGATGAAAATGCAAACGCAGGACTGCTAACACTACTTGTTGGCTGTATCCGTATTTTCAAAAGAATTCAAGGTTTACATTTAAGAGCAACAACTACCTGAATTCACTACCCAACACAAGTCCTGCAGTGACGTTGAAAAGCTTGATGTTTCAGTTATTTTGCAGACAGAAGTAGTAATAAAACAAAGTCAAGTTTCCTAGTGGGTATAGGACAATATCTTCACAAGCAAATTCCAGAAACCCAGAGGAAAAGCTGGAGATGCTACTTAGGTCTAAATGCATGGAAAAGCAAACCAGGAAGCTGAAGAACAGTAAACTCAGCCCAATGATACTCCAAGAACTTCAGCAAACACCTCAACATATTACATCAGCTACCTACTTCAAACCATACAAAAATATTTCAATTGCTCTGGAACAGATTGATGTTTATTTTATTGCAATAATATGCCAATTATTGCACCCTAGGCTCATTCTATGCGAGGCTTATACGACCACATTACCTCTAATTTAATAACTTCAATAAAGTTGTGGTTTAACCATTGTAGGCAACTAAGCACCACACAGCCACTCGCTCACTCCCTTCAAGTGGAACAGGGAAAAGAACTGGAAACAAAGAAGTTAAGTTGTTAAATTTGAGGTACCATTAATGACTCATCACAGTAATGGCTACCTGGAAAGACGAATGCCATAACCCTGTACATACCCCCAGCTCCTTCCCCTTCTTTCCCCCACCATTTATTGCTGGGAATGATGCTAAATGGTGTGGAGTATCCCCTTGGTCCTCTGGGGTCGGTTGTCCTGGCTGGGTCCCCTCCCAGCCTCTTGTGCATACCCAACCTCCTCGCTGGCAGGGCGGTGTGAGAAACAGAAAAGGACTCGTCACTGTGCAAGCACTGCTCAGCAACAGCTAAAACACCAGTGCCTTACCAACACTGTTTTGGTCACAAATCTGCAACGCAGCACCATCTACTATGAAGAAAATTAACTCTACCCCCGCCCAAATCAGTATAAATAGCTTGCCATAAAATGCACACCCCATTCCCCCCCTGAATCCCGCAGCATTTGAAGCAGTTACACAATCGCATTAAACAGAAGTTTGCAAGGTCTAAGACTGAGAGAAGCAGAATCAAAACATTTGTGCGTTTTTCCCCAAACTGGCATGCGACCCCAATTTATTCAGCCAAGCACAAACTAACATTCATTAGCTTCACGAGCACCACACAACTCGCAACAAAGCGGCATACTCACCCGAAGAAGTACTGACAGCAAAAAGACTTACCTGGCCCGCCGCCGTGATTGCCATGTCTCCCGCCGCCATTGAATTTGTCATGCTCGTCGTAGTCGTCGCCGCTGAATTTGTCTTGCTCTTTGCCAGTGTTAGATAAGGTATGGCTGTCGCCACTGCTGGGTACGTCACGCCCGCCGACACCGTTGGATATGTCACGCTCCCCCCTGCCATCGAGTATGTCATTTGTTCTACCTCCTCCTCCTCCTCTAGATATGTCATGTTCGCCTCCGCTGCTGATGGATTGCCCGCCCCCGGCGCTGCAGCTGGATTTCCCACCCCCGGCGCTACTGCCGGGTTTCCCTCGCCTGCTGCTGCATTTCCTGCAACCGCATCTGCTTTGCGACTTCCCATATCTCCTGCTGCTTCTCCATGGCCCGTGCCCGTCGCTTCCACTCTTCTTGAAATTCCTGTTTTCGCCGCTCGATTATCCAGGCCAGCTCCTTCTGCAGGGCTTCCCATGCCTTTTGCTTCTGCTGGATTCGCTCTTCCCGTCGCTGCTGCCGGCGTTGCCATGCCCAGCGCTGCAGCAGGCGTTGCAATGCCCGTTGCTGCCTCTGGAGTGGCAACGCCCTTTGCTGCTGCTGGAATTGCCATGCCTGTCGCAGCTGCTGGAGTTGCCATGCTCGTTGCAGCTGTTGAAACAGCGCTTGGTGACACCCAGACAGCACTACTACCAACAAAACTAAAATTGAACTGAGGCAGCGACGCAGTACCGATGGGTAGGGGGATTTTCGGTAGCACTGGTTCCTCCACTTCCTAAAGTTGTAAAAGAAAAATTTAAATTTACCAGACGTACTTTTACAAGACTACTTTCTCACATTGTCCCACCCAATTTATTAACAAAATGAAATCAAACAAAAACCCATGCAAATTCAGAGAAAGCAAGTTTCCAGAAGAAAGCCTGATCTCCCTACCTCTGTCTACTAGGTCATTTTAATTTATGGCAGGCCTGCTTCCACATAATACTCTGTTCAACAACTGTACAGCAAGAACACTGAAAGTTAACTCAAAACCTGTGCAGAACAAAGAGGCACAGATCAGATTTTTCTTTTCCTTTCCTATACTTTGGTCATCAGAGCTCTAGAGAAGCATCATCCTTTCTAACTACCCTCACACCTCTTCAATTAAGAGTACACTCTCAAGACAAATGAGAAAGCGTTCCTCTTGCAAAATTAGGCAGGAGGGTTGCCAAAGTTTCTAAAGTCACTACAGCAGTGAACGTGGAAAAAGGTAATGTTTCAAGAAGCAGGTAGCTTCAACAACCAACCTAAACGCAAAAAGCACCAAAGAAAGTCAGACTAGCAGCACTGAAGACTCTATTCTGGTAAATACAGCCCATACCACGTATCGGGACACAAATGCAAAAATCAGAAAACGCTGTTTTCAAAACTTCCATTTTTATCCCTTCCACTTACTTTATTTGATTACTAAGATTGGATGAGTTATGTTTTAAATGACGTAGACAATCTGATCAAAATTTCAACACTACTATCACGATCTACTTAGAAATGACTAGGCAGGGACGTAAGGAGGTACTACTGATATTCAGTGCATAAGGCAGCCTACGTCTGTTTCACTGTTTTGATTTGAAAAATTTATGAACTTAGGATATTTGGATCATGTTTGGACCATTTAATGTCCCATTTAATGTTTTTAAACTTAAATTAAATACTTAATATTAAATATTAAATGCTTTAATTAATAAATAACATTTAAATTAAAACTATTTAATTGTAAATACTTTAAATTAAATACTTAACATTAACTTAGTATTAATTAAATATTTACGTTACTATTAAGTATTTAAATTAACTTACAGGCACCTCACATAACATCCAGTAAAAGAAAAAATAATCCGAATATTCACGGTCACAGTTTTATGGAATAGATTTTTCTGATTAAAATGAGAAAAAACTCTCACAAGGAGTTTGGTGATTCTCAAAAATTGAGTCATCATTAGCAGACATGCAGAATGCTGTCTTCTACTACTCTTTTTCAAACTCTTGGCCTGTATCTTTTTATACGACTTAAATATGAAACCAAAAATTAAACTTTTTCTTTCTTTTTATACTTGGCACTCATGTCAAGTATCATTCCTGTATAAAAACTACACAAACCTTCACCAAAACATTACTTCTGTTCTTAGGACTCACTCGTTCAGTGGCTAATGAGAAATGTTATAGTTCGAAGAATCTCCAAAGTAGCAGAACTAAAAATTTCAAAATTATGTAAGCAAAGTTCAGGCATTCAAACACAGTAAATCAATTGAGCCTGCTCTGAAACCCCCAGGAAAACATCATACAAAACGAAAGAGGTATTATTATAATGTACTATGATGCAATAAAACTGACACACTTAGCTACTGACTTCAGCAATCTCAGTCACAGCAATTAATTTAAGAGTCACTTACCTGTTCTTGTACACATCTGGATAAATAGTGTAACCCTCTTTCCCTTCTCATTTTGCCGCCTCCACTACTCATTCCTGAGGACAGACCATTGGATGCGGCAGCACCGAAGTTGTAGCTGGTCACATTTCTAGTAGTTTCACATTTCACACCGCTCACATTTCTGTAGCTGGTCACACAACAGTACAGAAGTTGGGAGAAAAAAAAGAGAAAAAAAACTTAATCAGACAATTTTTTTCAAGACATTATAGCTGTTATTAGTCCTAGAATTGAAACCTGCTAACCAGAAAAAAATAAAGCTGTCTCACAAGTTGCTAAATGCTGGTAAATACTTGATGTTCTATATCGGAAAATCTTTATTAACAGCAGCAATGAAAAGGACATACATAAGCGCACCGTTCATATGGGAACAATGACTAAGCCAGAAGACCTGAAATAGAAGAGCTGATTTAGATTGTTATTTTCCAACGCTTCCTTTAAACAGGACTGGTTCTCTGATTCTGCGATGAACATGCATCTTTGCAGGGATATAAAAGAACAACTCACGAAAATATAGAAAGAGTGCTCATATGCATACACACACGGGACACGCTGCCAACAGCTATGATAGAACAGAGAGGCCGTAGACTTGTGTGGCAAGGTAATACAGCATAAGCTTCAGAAGCAGCTCTGGCTTTCATGTGGCCATCAGCAGCAACAGCAGAGGTGTTTGGGTGTGCCAACATTCCAGTCTTTTCAGACATGAATAGAGATCCCTTTTGTAAGGCATTTCACACAAAGGCATTTTTCTGTTACTTAGAAAAGCCTAGACCAAAACCAGAAAGATTTCCTCATCTCAGTGGAAACAGGGAAAAAAATATCCCAAACCAGAAGTGAAATAGGGAATAGCACTAATAAAAGCACTATGGCAAGAAAATGAAGTCTGCCTGGAAAAACTGTGACATCAAAGCTTATCTTGCAGCCAATCAGGAAGTACAAAAGTGCATTAGATCACACTGGAAGACACCAGCTCAAACTTCCAGAAGACTGAGGAGGAGAACTGGTCTAAACTTGTCAAATACTTGACAACAGCCTGCTTAGCACTCTGACTGCATAGAGGAAGACAGATCCCTAAGGCATATGCTCAGACTTTTCTCTAATCCAAACTGTCAATCAATTAGAACACTGAAAAAGAGTCTTACATCAGAATAGGTCTTTATTCGGACAAGTATCGTTTGCCCATAATAGCCCATATTCCTCTTTCTGTTAACACCTGTCAGCTTCAAGGGGGCAAAGACAATTGTCAGCCTTCAAGCAAGTCTGATCTACAATTGGACTCAGGCTTAAAAAAAAAATATATATATATATATGTATATATACACACACACACACACATATATAGCATTGGTGGGCCAGAGATTTACTGAATATTCCAACTCAGCTGTCCAAAGGGACTCTTGCCAGCAGATCATTGTGGTGCTCCTGCTCCAGAACATGGCACCCAACAGAGACCAGCACCACAAAAAACACTACCACCACTACACCACTTTTGTTTGTAGAGTACTACAAACAAAAGGTAGGGCACTGCAATGGACTGTGTCAACAAAATCAAAAGCAGTATGAGTTTTCTGGATCTCCTTCCTAAATGGAGAAGTAGAAAGGAGTGCTAACAAAGATAATTCAGAACAGTTTGAAAAAAACATAATTAAAACCCAGCAGCTGTTTGCACCTGTACCAGAACCTTAAAGCCAGTCGCTTCCACCCCTAAAAAGGTGGTGGTTGTGAAGTCGAACTTTTAGATGCCAAGACAAAAACGTTGAGTTCTTTCTGCAAGCCAAAGAATGCCCACGGTCACATAAGAATTGCTTGGCAGATGAGCAGAGTCAGCAAAATTCCCTGCTACTGTTCTTGGAAAAGAGCAACCCCCTAAAAAGGTAGGGTGCAAAATGTCCTAACTCAAGCGTTATTACCCCAAACACCATTTGCCCAGAAGGGAAAGCCATCAATATTATCTGGAGGATAACTCATCCTAACCCTAACCAACTAACTCATTAATTAACATCCTAAACCAAGAAAGCAGTATAACACAAAGCAGTCTCCTCAAGAAGAAGTTCAGTTAATTCTTCTGGATTTAGTTTTTTTATTTTAGAGATGAGTTAGCATTTGGCCTCAAATGATTCTAAACAACACAGGGTCTTCATGTGAACTCAGAGCAAACAATTAACTTCATCATGAAAGGAGCATTAAAAATAAATAAATACTAATAAATCTTCTTCCAGGTTTTTGCTCAAAAAATAAAGAAAAAAAAACTGTGACTCACTTCGCCTACTTTACCTTCTAAAGAATACTTCAGAAAGAATCATTCCATGAGGACAGAGCTTTCAAACTCCCAGCAATTAACTAGCTAAAACTAATAGCTTTTCCCCTAGGGAACATTAAGAGGGACAAATTGTTTTGTTATAAATAAATTGACATACAAACTATGAAATAGCTGTCACAGCAAAATTTGTAACACTAAAGATTTAGTTAAACTACAAAACGATCCCTATTTCCTAGAGAAGGAAAAAATTAGGCCTCCAAAAGCACAGAGCCTTTCCGTGGATACAGCATTATAGCATGCCTTGTTTCCCATCTTCACATCCTACTCAGAAGATAAACTTGGCATAAAAAGTGGTGTATCAGTCATTTTATTATTGTTCATCTTCATTCTTTTCATAAAAGCAACAATTTTCTCAAAGTTACACTGGTCTTCAAACACAATCTGGACTTCGCTGTTCCCTCAAAATACAAAATTTTCCTTGCATTTCCCATTCCTTTTACTGACAACTGTCACCACCTTTCCAAAAAGGCAAGCATGCAGACTGTACTGAAAAGGAGATTTCTTTCTTCCTTCAAGTAAGTTTTAAATGAACAAATGTCATACCTTCCACATTGTTCTGCTTGCTGTCTCACAGGCGAAGTCTTTTCTCTCATCCACTGCAAGTTAAATTTATTTCAAGATTTAGCTGAATAGATACAGAATACACAAAGTACCCAAAACCACTTATGTGTTGGTTTTGTTTTTTTTTAAAATTATTTATTTTTAATTTTATAGCACTGAATACGCCTCACCTACTTAACCTTGTTCCCTAATTCAGCATTGTGGGTACAGTTCAGTTAAACTTTGGGGCTAAAGTGAGCATCACTGCTTCACTCAGCACTGAGGACAAACTGATAGAACACTAAATCAAATTTGTCAAATTCTCTACCAAAGAAAGTAATTATTTTAAACAACATGACAAAAATTGTGTACATGTGGGGCCGAGTTTACCAGCCCCGTAAAAGGGACATACTTTTCTGTTTTCTATCATTTATCAACAAACAAGCAAAAAAAAAACTAAACAAAACAAAAAAAAACAACTCTACCTCCCCTAAAAACTAAGCAGTTGCTGCTACATGTGGTCTAGAACTTCACCAAATGGAGATTGTGCTGGCTAAACAATACAGAGATGGAAAGATTTAAAAGCAGTAAGTAACCAGTATGACTGCTCACTTTGATTTCCTGCCTAAAAAGCCCATACATTTAACACGTCGTCATTTGTACGCTCAGACTGATACTGGAAACATTGTTGTTTTCGCAGAAGGAGATGCCAATTTAATTTTATGGAAAATTTATCAGACTCCATCTACACCAAAGCAATCAAAAAGGATAACTCAGTGCATTGTCAGCTCTCACTTGGAGCACATAGCTCACCTGAAATAGTTTACACAGAACATGAGCATGTTTCAGCAGTGACAGCTCTGTGTTCATGAGAATACAAAAGGAAAACATTTCTCTCTTTTAATATTCTTTCACTGAGCACAGGGTGACTCAATAGCACATCATGACATCGTGAAAACAACGACAAGACACTGAGCATTCCAAAAACAGAATTAAATCCATAAAAGCTCAATCTATTTCACAATGGTTCCCACTGCCTTAAAGCTCGCCTCAAACATACTATCAGTACTTTTTGCAAAGACAGTATAATAATTGGTTTGAGAAACATTCCAAGATTGTAATAAAAACAAAACAAAACAAAAAAAACAGGCATATAAGGACTCAAAAATGTACTTACTTGGTACTTTGTGTCTACTCCATTGCAAATTTTGCTGGAATCAGGAGTTGAAGTCTTTGACGGTTTAGAATACCGGACCCGACGCACTGAATGAAGGTTTAACCTTGGTTTCACAAGTCTCTTTACAGGTGGATGCGGGGACTCATTCTGGGAGTCCAGCTTTGAAAGGGAAACAGCAATCAATTTATCCTGACGTCTACCCAAAATAATTCCAATATTTATTGATGAAAACAAATTACAGAACTATAAAGCTCCCATCGGTCTTGGCACTCTGTGAATACAATTTGAGAATTCCAAAAAGCATTCAACCTATAGAGGGAAATCACCAGAAAACCAGTAACAAAATCCATAAAGCTATATTTAAGTAGCCAAAGTCTGACTGAATTCCATTTCAAAATGTGGCAGTTAGCTTTGTAGACAAAATAATTCATGCTACCATAATTAAAATAACTCAGGTTCCTATATGTTCCTATCTTTTCCTCAGCCCACACTGATTTTTTTTAACAGCTTAATTCATTAATTTAACATTCAAAGCGTTAAGCAACTAATTATACAGGCTTCTGGGCTTCACATTCCCTACATTTTCCCCCTTCAAAGTTACACAAACAATAGAACACATTCAAAATAAAGCTGTCAATCTTACAATAATCTCATTCATTAAACTATGATCCAATGCTTTAGATGTGCATTTAGATGCACATCAAGTAGTGGGTTTGACTTCATTTTTCAACACATTTTCACAGACCAGAGTTACTCTTTAACACAGACCACCGCATGTTCTGCAGAACTGACTTAACTGAACTGTCAAACAGAAAACAAACCCTGAAGCCTAAAAGATTTACCAATGGCTCCACCTGCAGTCTTAAGGATCAGAAGATACAGTCTTAGCAAGTATGCTATTGTTCAAATCAATACCAACAGAAAATGGTTTACATTGCAGCTTTAGTTTCGCAGTATCTCCCAACTCTTAGTAACAGAATTCACACCACCTATGAAGTGTACAAAAATATATCTTTCTAAAAATTATTACATTCATTTTGAAACCTTGAATAAAATACGTTTTATGGAAGCTCACAAATCTCCTTCGAGTGAACGATGGTTCACTGCTGGTTTAAAGGTAAAAAAGAAAAATATTAATTCCCCCAGTTAGGCATTTAATACACCAAGAGCTATTCTGCCTGGTACAGTTCCTTGAAATAAGAAAAATACCACATCACTGCGACCCGCTGCAGAAGTTTAGCCTGAGTGCACAAGTGTTCTGTCAACCCCACGTTCACTTCAGCAGGAAAACACACAATCATCTCCTTCGCAAATAATTGCTTCTCATCAAGGGCTACCCTTCTCCTGCCAAGCATTATGAATTCCAGTATTATGAAGAGACAATCTATCTCCTTCTACCCAGTGACAGCTGCGTGCAACATTCATTTAGTGGCTGACAACTTCAGGCTTTCTGTTGCAAATCTGGCAGATCTTTCTTAATGCCTTATCACAGGTGTATTTCTATAATAGAACTGAGAGTTCACACCAGATTTGTTTTTAGTTATTTGGATAATACTTATGATAGACTTCACTTCTCTATGCCTTTGTCATTTGGCATATGGTGAAAAGATGGCACAGGAAAGCTGACATGTTTGCAAACTCTCAAGTGATTGTAAACTTAATTATACATCCAATCAAGGAATTAGCACAGAAACTTCTTCAGACATTGTCCCTTTTCTCATTAGAACAGAAGATGAAGAGTGTGCACATCCTGTTCTTTCCTTCAGTCACCTCATCTTAAAGCGGTCCTTTCAGGGTTTTGCAATTTAATAAACCCAATGACACCCCTAATTAAAGTCACCAAAAAAAGATGACCGGTTTTCATTTTTTAAACAAAATGAAAGGAAATCATGCTTTACCACAGCACTATCACCAATTCTGTGCTACCTCCAAATAGGAATTCAGGAGCATAAGATTTATAGTGTCAGAAATTAACAATTTTCCCTGGTTTTACCTTGAATGGTGATAAAAAGCAGAAAAATAGTTTGCTGTGCCTAAATGAACACCCAAGTCCGTACAAAGTCTATATGACCAGTCAAGCAGTATTTTTCTGTTTGTGATCATTTCTTCAAGAGAAAAAATTTCCTCAACAGGAATTTTAATATGCAGCTTCACCCCAAACTGGGGGACAAGATAAAACTACTTCGTGTGTTCTAGAGTCGTTGCTCTCAACTTACAAAGATAACAAATCTTAACGTGAGTAATCTTTACAGCCCTTCATCTCTTGTAGATAGATGCCAATATTAACTTGATTAGATGCGTATGTTGTCATTGAGGTTTGAGAAAATTTTTCTAATAGTGATAAAGCATTAGAAAAGTTATCTACCTCATCTTAAGACATTATTGGTTCTTACCTTTCTTCGTTTGGGCTGAAGGTCAGGAACATTCAGTTCATCTATGTCTGGAGGCTAAGGGAAAAAATAAAGCCTAAATGTTAGAGGGCTTTTCTTTTTTCCTGAGAGAGGGTTCCCTGCAACAAAAATATGGGGGCTCATGGTCAACTTACAGAACTCAGCGGCAAAAGAGGTGGCATTTTTTTAGCATCCTGTTGAAAAAATAGTGCAATAAATTAAACTTGACACAACATAAGGAAGAACAGTTTTATCTTTCTCCTTTGATGGCACATTTACTAAGTTTTAGAAACACGTGAAGCAAAAATGGATTAAAAGAAGTGCTATTTACCATCAAAGGGCTTGACAGCTTCTCCATTGCCTCCAAGATGCACCGTGCTGCGGTACTTAAGGTAGCGTGGGACTGCACTTTTTCTTGCCTAACTCTCCTTCTCATTTGTACCTGGAAAATTAGCATTTTAAGTGTTACAATGGTCAATTCCGAGTTAAGGAGGCATGTATTTTATGTTCCAAGGCTACACTGATGATATAACCAATATATTCTGATGACAGAGAAAAATGCAGTCACTGGGAGTTCAAGCCGTAAAGAAGAGTACATGCTGAGTACAACGAAGTTTACCTTGGGCCTCAGTGCATCTTGCTCGTGCTTGTTGCGCGAGTAATAAAAGAAATCCATACTTGTAAAAGGTCAAGACGGATGATGCTAGGACTGCTAAGGCCTCCAAAGCAGTAATCAGGGAAACAGAACTCAAGAAAAGGCTTGTGGTACAGAAAGTGCTTTCACTAACAACACAGACCTCAGAGTTTCACGATGGTGTAGGTGTACCATCTTAAAATCAGTGTATACAATCATAACCAGGAACTAGTTTTACTTCTCTCTTGCTTCCTCCCTTCCCCCAAGATTAAAGTTGGCTGCAAATCTTTGCTTTAAAAGATAAAGATCCGATTTCAACTGTAACACATCTAAATATTACACTGAAAAAGTGAACTGTTTATTTGCACCACCCAGCTTCAAATATCATGCAAAAACTTCCCTTGGTGTGACTTTTTTCTTCCCATGTTAAACCCCTCTGTGTTTATCACACGATATGAAGACAGGAAGCAGACCATGCAGCATATAAAAACACAAGTGAGACTCACAGAACGGTTACGGTTGGAAGTGACCTCTGGAGATCACCTGCTCTACCCCCTGCTCAAGCGGGGCCACCCCAAGCAGGTTGCCCAGGACCATGTCAAGTCAGCTCTTGAAGATCTCCAAAGAGGGAGACTCCACAGCCTCTCTGGGCAACCTGTGCCAGGGCTCCATCACCCGCACAGGAGAAAAGCATTTCCTGATGTTCAGACAGAACCTCATTTTGTTTGTGCCTGTTGCCTCCTGACCCGGCACTGGGCACCGCTGAAAACAGAATGGCTCTCTTTGCTCTTTGCACCATCCCTTCAGGTATTTACATACATCAATAAGATCCCCCCCCCCCGAACCTCCTCTCCTCCATGCTGAACAGTCCCAGCAGTCTCGGCCTCTCCTCAGAGGAGAGGTGCTCCCAGACCCTTGATCGTCTTGGTGGCCCTTCGCTGGACTCTCTAGTACATCGCTGTAATCCACAGCAAGCAGCAATAAGCAAGCTTCTCTCTCCTTTAAAAGCCTAGTATTTTGGTTCCTCTTGTTACCATAATCCACTAATATTGTTAGAAAACAAAAATAGCTGACCAAAGAGGGTTCCCAGCTTTGAACCACAAGTTTTCAAGGTTTCCCCTAAGTGAGCTACTGCCCTTGTTCCATTGCAGAGCTGGACTGTCAGAACAGATCCAGCAAACCCACGTTTTCATTTCCTTAAAATTCCTTTTGATTTATTGATAAAAGTCAAATTGATTTAAATGCATTCCTACCAAACCTGATTTGACTTTCCTTTTCGATTCAGCTCTAGCTAATCAGAGTTGTCAGCAGTTTTTATTTGCTATTTCCAAGAACTCTTGGGCGCAAATACCTCTCTTCAAGAACTATATGAATCATTCAAAATAGAAAGCATGTTACTGCTTATCTTGAGACTGCATTTAGGCCTGCATGCCTCTACGTAACAGAAGAGCAAAGGATCAGCAAAGTTAATTTTAGATATTTTTAAAGAGCGCAGTTTTATACAACAGATCCATAGCATGAGTGCAGGCATGCTTGCAAAAAAAGATCCACAGATAAACATTGGCCAGGTTTGACTACTGTAGCTTTTGCTACTATAAACACAACTTTTCAAAGTTATGCTGCCATTGTTTTTATTTACATTAAAATAACACCATGCAATGTAGTCAGAGGCAGACAATGGCACTCAAATGGAACTTCTTGAAAGAAGTAACAACAGAGGAAACCCCAACTACCAACAACTAGCCTAAACTGTCATTCTTGCTCTTTCTGGCAAGTATTACCTGTGGTAAAAACTGCTAAAAAAAGAACTTAACCCGAAATCAATCTCTTCTATTTTTGTAGACCAAGAGGGCAGAAGAGCAACTGGTACCACATACTCAGCTCCCTGCTCAGAGCTCCTTTGGCAGTGCTGCTTTTTTATTTCCATCACTATTTCCCATTACCCTACTTTTCTCATACCCGATAAGGTTCTATCATCGACGGCTTTGATCTTCCAGCTGCACCACCATAGGCCGTCTTTCCAGGGTAAAATGGAGAATACCCAGGCTGGTTTTTCTTACAGTCAGATGTGCTTCCGCGTGCCTACAGAAACACAGTACGTTAAGTGGACAGAAAAACAGGTACACATTCAAAGTGATTGAAAGAAAGACTGTGCAGTACTTACAGGAAACATTCCTCCAAAAGCAGATAAACTGAATGCAGGTTTCTTAGAGCTAGCTGCAGAATGCTGCGAGAGGGAATGAGTTCTATCAGCTTCTGTGGTCCAGAGCAGTGATGAAGAAGTATTTTTTAAAACTCCAACATCTGCCAAAGTGACATATATGTTAAATGTAAACGTCTCTAGTACATACAGAACTTTAACAGTAAAGACCACACTAATTCAAGTTCTTCAACACGGAAAAATAAACGTGGCTTCAGCTTCTTTAAACAGCTTCGTGTACAGACTGAAAATCAAGTAACAGCTACAAACTTGAAAACTGTTCACTGAGCTGCAAGCAGTTTTCAGCAATCTTAACAAGTTAATACTGTGCTTCCAGTGCAGAAGATTTTTTTTTCCTTTTGTGCTAAAAGCAAAGAGAATTGCATAAACATCAGTGCATTTGTACAGACAAAGCTTTTTTCTATGTTGGTGAAAGGCTGGAGGCCAGCACAGATCATAATTGCACAGGTTTTACACCTGGAAGATTCCTAGAAGGCTGCTCTAAGAGTTAACGATCTTCTTCCCACATATGTTTTACGACGACACACCAGAAAGTTGTTGTGCGCTCAGGTTACACTGCTGAAGCCCAGCAACTCTACTCTCAACCATACACAAGTTCTCTGAAAAACCTGCTGAGGACACTTCAGTCCCTGTCTATCTGGGGGACTAGAAAAAGCTGCAAACCTGCTGTTTGCCCTTTCAACCCTTTTCAAACACAAAGTACTTCACATTAAAAAAAAGTCAACTAAACAGAGAACAGAAAAATCACCTTTGTCAGATGCTCTAGAGGAGAAGCCACTGGTTGTTGACATGTTGTCATGTCTTGTTGAGAGGTAGAATCTTTGATTTCTTTTATGAAAGAGAGTCCAGGACTGCCAATGCCAAATATTGAAGATCGTGGGCTGAGAAGGTGGGACAGAAGAATCCGACATGGTATAATTCAAATGGCTCCGATGAAGAGCGGGCCTTGTTAAGGCAACTGGGTAGTTCAGTGCTGAGCTACTTGTGGATGGTTCTAGACAAGAACAGGGAGATAATTAGCTTTGCTATAGACAAGCTCACAGAAGCCAAAACCTGTTTCCTATCAACAGCCATGCTATTGCCAAGTTCTAAGCGCAAAAATAGAGAAGCCAAATTTAACTTCTTCCTCACCCAGATACGGTTTCATCTAACTGTCTGGCTACAACAACAACACTGCTTGCAATACTGAGTATTAATGTTGCATTCAGAAGAAGTTAACTGTGAGGTTTCACAACACCAGATTCTGACCCCGTGTTCAAATGCTCTAACACTGACTTGGCCTTTCACCAAGTCAAACACAAATACTCCTCCTCACATGTACAGCTTGCAAGAAGCTTTACAAAATTTGAGATTACATGCTAAGGCACAGATAACACTGCAGCTTATATAATGTTGGAACAAAGGTCATTAATCTAAATACACAGCATGAAAATGAACACTTGCAGTACTTTTTTTCCCAAGTTCTACCAGATCAGCTCATCTTAGAGGCAAAACACTACCTCCTACCCGTTAACTACTGGGATTTTGACCCAAGGGAAAAGTACGTTGACCCAAGTAACCAGATGAGCATTTTTCCCTCTTGAAGCAAAGGGTCTGCAAACAATGCCAGTGGCCTGATAAAAGCCTACAGTCTCCCCCAGGAATCTGGGCAATTAAAATGATTTTGCGCCACTATCCTCTTGATGCTCGCACTCAAGCTTAAACTAGTTAGTTCAATCTTCATAACCACTGCAGTACCACTAATTAGTTCTCCAAACCATGAGCAGATTTTTAGAACAGTACCGTTTGAGATACACAAAGTTATTCGGGCTGAAGGCCACCTAAGCAAGGAATATAGGCTCCAGCACATTGATACCTCAGAGCTGAAGAAACACATTTGTTTAAAAATGAAGTAATAATTTTTAAAAAATATCTTATTCTTAAGCAGAGCAAGTAACACCCACAGACAGCTACATAAGCTACAAAAGGTTCTAGGATGTCCACCTGCTCCTGATCTCCTGGAGTTAGTAAGCTTGCAGTGCAGCTGTTCTTACTGAAAGCTCCTTTCACACAGTTACATAGAAAAGCCAACATGTGTTCCTCAGTCATGAAGACCTTCTCTATTCTTTTCTCCAAACTTATTCCCAAGCTACAGCTACACAGAAAGCAATCAATCTCCTTGTTTACAATTAGATGAGATTGGAGGCAAAGCTATTTCCGCATTATTTTTTGATTCTGCCAACAACAGAAGCAACTGACTTTCCAGTTTACCTATGGTTATCTACGCACACTCAGACAAAACTTCTTTACTTATTAAAAGCTGAGGTCCCCAAAACAGCTAATTTAAGAGAAACTCCAGTAAGAGTATGTGCGGATTTATACAATAAGACTACAGTAGCAGTGAGAGGCATCGGATATAAGACAAATTCATCTTTTATGCAGTAAAGTAAAGTAAAGTACAAACCTCGTTGCCAACGCTCCCAATACCTTTTCAAAGACACCCCTTCCCCCTGCGTAGACCTTAAGGTTATTGAATATTTTAAGGATAATAATGTCATAAACCACATCCATGCACAAGTTCCCTAGTTCTCCATTAAGTTAACAAGGAACTTGACTAAATTGATCAAAGCCCAAAACAAAACCAAACAAAAAAAGTCAGGACTCGAGATGGAATTTTCCTGTGCCACTCTAGCATCTATTATTTTGTTTTGAAGACTGCAAAGCAAATTCATTTTTAATTGCCTTACGCAATTAGATTTTCATTCCGTTTCTTGTAAAATATGGAAAATGCAACCTAGCACACTTGCAAATGAGTTCTTTCCAGCATTTAGCACCTGGCTAATAGAGTACGTAAAGTTGACTGATGCCTTCCAAGAGCATAAGAGGTATGCTTCGTAATTGTGCGGACAGTTTAAAGCTAAGACAGTTTCACAAACAGTTGTTTCGACTTTCTTGTTTGTTTTTTCATTCTGTCAAAACCCTCCTTCCAATTTCCTTTTGATATTCGGATTCAAAACTAGAAATCTGTGAATAAATACAGGTGGCCAGAATTCCGAATGATTTTTCACGTACCTTGTCTATTAAGTGTCGCTCGTTCAGGCATGTATCTCCCATCATTTAGGGTACCTCCATCTGCGTAATTATGATGCTGGTTTACTGGAGTCGCCGCCTGGTTTGCAGATTTATTTGCAGCTGCACACTCATTCTCACGCTTATTGAAATACTTCTGCAGCCACGCCGGTACAATACTTTTCACCGTTTCTGTCACTCTGCTAATTATTCCCTGCTTGAAAGAAAAAACACTCGTTTAATTACAGAAACACAGTCAACGGCATATGCTGGGATACAACTTTCCACGGACCCTGAAGACAGATATTATATAGCACATACTCAGAAGACGACGACAAGGTTGATCCTTAGCATAGGACCGCTATACTTCTGGTACACCTCAAATTCAGCTGACATTGATTTACGACTACTTACCGGTTTCTGCACTTCCAAGTGACCTTGGCAAAGTTCAAAATTTTGAAACTTCTGCCAAAATTCACCTGCAGGTTGTCAATTCGCAAGGGCATCAGGAAACTCTGTGCCTAAATACCTCCTGACCTACAGACTTGTTCCAGGACTCTTCGCGCTCTCACGTGAAAACCAACTAAACCTGCCTACAGCCACACGACGGGCTGCTCGCCTCCCTGGTGCGAGCAAACACGAAAGCTAACTCAGCAACCCCAACGCAATGACAAGTGGCAGGAGGTGATGAAGTTGAGCAAAAATCTGTTCATCAGTTGCTAACGCACGGGTCTGGCTGGGTCTGCACCAACAGCCCTGCTCGCCTGCTTCTCTGGTGTCAGGCAACACGATTGTCTAGTCTAAACTACTATTTGGGCGTCGAAAACTGGTAATGTAGTTTGAACATGCAGAAGTTACAGTCTAATCATTCTGAAACAAGAACTGTGCTGTATTCAACTCTTAAAACAAATTAGCGTAGAAGCCAAAACAAAAGCCTGAATCATTTAGGTTTTCCACACATGATAACGCAAACTGCGGAAAATAAGACAACCAGACAGCCCTGAATCTGGGGTTAAGAGAGAGGCATGGGAAGAGGAAGAAAGGAAGACCGAAAACACAAAGCCTTTCTCCAGAAAGACATCTTAATTCACGGTTTGACATTTTTCCTAGTGATCTGTAATTTCATCGTGTACTTGCACGAAGACAGAATAAATACCCAAGGACAGTTAAAACCACGCAGGACACCACCAAATAAACACAGCCATCACGGTTAATACCTTAAAACGCACACAGGTACAAAATGCTCTGGATGTTGCTATTCTTCTCCAAAAATCCTACGCCTCAGCTTCCCTACAAAAACCATTAAACGCACGTAATGCCATAGCTGACACACAGTCCGACACGCGGTACCAGCGGAGGCAGCCCCTTCCTCCTCCCCTGCCCCTCATTTCCACGTTCCCCTTTTATTGGGGCCAATATTCCTCTCCGATGAATGGAAGCCTATCAGGAACTCACATGGGTCCAAGTTTGCGAAAACAGACACTAGAATAGGCCTGCAGGATTCTGTTGCTGTGCAAATCCTCCCCGTACAGAAAGCGGCCCGAGACTCAAGACGGAACAAGTCACAGGCACTCAGAAGAGCAAACACCCCGTCACCTTGAATAACCTAAATGAGTAACTACAGAGCCTAGCTAGACGAATAATTAACCAAGATGACATTTTACCATCCAAACCTAAAGCCAGACTGCTTTGACCCTTTCCTGCATATGGCAGCCTGGCTGCTGCTCCCCGCATCAGTGGCATTTGAAGAAAGAACTGAACCCCGAATAATTTCTCCAGCCCTTTCAGAAGCCACAAGTGGGAAGTACTGACAGCCTGCTCCATCCGACCCGTGCATGGCGTAAGACAAGAAGCTTTGTCAATGACAAAGCAAGGAAAAGTAAAATATGCTGAAACATACCTCCAATTTCCTGCTGCACAGCAAAAAGGTTGATTAAATGACCGCAAAAGAACAAGGCAGGCGCTGTGAACTGAGCCAGAGCCTGCCATCTAACATCGATATTGCCAAAAAAAGAAACAAACGCTCCCCCCAGAA